TGGATTAACAGAGCTATGCATCCAAAATATCTGAAGTAACTAGAGGTAGTCAGTTGCACTGTCAAAGATACTCTGGAGCAAAGCCTGCAGAGACTAGGGCAAAATATACACAGGACTAAACAGCAAAACACAGAGGGGCAAAACTGCATAAGACACAGATCACTAGTGATCAAAAAACAGTACCTGATAATGCTGTTCATCCCACTGCACTCCGTGTGACCAGTGAACACCAAGACTCTCATTGGTGCAACTGCCAAAGCTACTTGTATTTTTGGAATGTGACTCAGATGGACAAAACAAGTCTGTGACCAGTCAGGCCACAGGTTGATACAGCGAGTGAGTGCATTCAACGGAGGAAAACCTGGCCTTGTGCCACCCTTCCCTGTCTATACCCACTGCATGAAGAAACACGATGACCATTACACTCAAGTAGCACTCCAAAAAGATGAATTGTTTTTTCCTATTTAACATTTCATTCCCTCATTGAAGAAAGCAGGAGAGGAGTGGCAGATATGGTATCCAGSTCTTAGAGAAAAAAAATCAACTCACTTTGGGTTAACTTCTCATCTTAAAATGAGCTGTTGTAGCCATTCCGAGCAGATGGGCTGCCTTCTTACAACCAAACTATACCTGTTCCTTGTAGATACTGGCACATTTTCTCTCATCACAAAAAACAAATGCAAGAGCTGACCTACAAAATGGCCAGCTCAGACTGCTGGTTGTGCCACACACTGCTGCAGCATCACAGAGAGGGGCAGAGAGCTGCAGCCRTTGCACCTGCTTAGAATGTAGCCCAGATGTTGCATTTTAAACCTCCTGGGTGCTCTGTGTAAACCCCAGAGTGGGAACAAGTCTGCTCTCCTGATAGGAGGGCTGATGCCACTCTCTTGTCCTACACACCTACTGATGTCCTTCAAATCAGCTGGGCGACCAGACATTACAGAGTTTTTTYCTCTCCATTCTTCTCTCTGCTTTTAATCTCATCCTCCACAGACAGCCTGAATTCTCTTATCACTTCTCTGTGTGTTTCTATCCCTATGGTGATCTCCAGCAACTGTAGTCTTCTCTTAGGTCCCACACTTCCTAACTCAAGCACCATCTATCTACCTGAAGATATCATGTCTGCTAAAATCACCTTCTACCAAATAATTTCCAAGGCTATCTCACCTTCCTGCCATCAGTTACACTTCCTATCTAGCTCCTTACTCCCATCAAGGTGTTTGGCATTGTGTATGAGAGCAGAAATGTGCACAGACTCATTGCTGCTCGCTCCTTGCCAGCCTCCCACTTAACTAAACCCATTTTCATCCTTCCCTCAGAATTGCTCCTGCTCTTTTGGTGCCAAGCCACTCTCCCACCCTCCTGTCCTCCTCAGAGCACACTGCTCCTTGGACTCCTTTCAACAGCAGCTAATTCAAGACATTACAGCACAGAAGCCTGTGCCAACACCCAGTGCATAAACAAAGATGAGATACATGAGAGGAGAGAACACGCTGTCAGCATTTAATAACAAACACTAATTGCAAACAGGGGGATGGACTTCTCCAGCCCTGTTCTCTCAGCAGCCAAAAGCGATCTGAGCCAGGGGACRTGTCCATTCACAAACTGGGATCCATTAATCACTGAATGACTCAGTATCTGACTGCCACCAGCCTGCTTGGTGTCTGACTGATCACTGAATGGAGTGGATCTTGGAGTTTTATTTACACCTCATTAGTGTAGGGACACAGAAATATTAGGCCTCTACTGATACAGTTTCAAAAGCCTTTCAGGCCTGCAATAGATTTGCCCTATAATCCTCGGGTTTTGTGCAAACAAAATGCAAAATTTTAATTTCTCTCTGTGCTTCTCGTTTTCCTGAGAAAATTGCCTTATATCAGATCCCAGAAATCTGCACAGCAGGCTGTTTGTGGGCCTCAACATTTCAATACTTTTACTGAAARCTGCTGCAAAAGACAAATGGCTTTTTCAATAACATCCTCATTCACCAGAAAGKCTGGCTCTCATCACATGGAACATGATGTAGAGACACTAAGTATTTCAATAATTTTGCCCCATCATTCATTGTGCTCCATAGATAAACATATCAGACCCCTAAAGAGAAGACATCCATGTAAAAGACACTGTTCTCTAGGGCAGGCAAGTGCCTTTCCGTCATAATCCCTATTGAGGAAGCATATGCAGTTATGTSACAGGAAATGTCCCTTCTCACCTCAGCTGAAGATAGTGCCAGACCCTTAAGGAGCACCTGGGAGAAGAGGTACACACTCTTGGCAAGTTCTTGGCAAGACAGCTCCTTGTGACTTTAAAACCCCCTCAATGCACCTCTTGCAGCCTTGYACTATGTGGATTTCCTATGAGCTGCTGAATCCCCAGAGACCATGAGGTGGTGGGCACAGACCTGTAAACCATTGAGCCAAAGTTAAAACTTTGGTGTTTGCCAATTTTGTGAGTCTCCTTCATTCAATCCATTATTTTCAGGACTTTCTCCCAACTCACCAAATCCTACCATCATGACTTGGGCTGTCTCTAGCCCTCCTCGCACACATCAATTGAGCCAAGTCAAACAACCAAACCAGCAGAAATCAAGTAATTTTTTGCAGTTAAAGCGGTTGATGTGACTCAGAGAAGTCCAAGGACTTAAAGGTAAGCAGCAGGAGCTTAYAGCCAAGCATGAAGAAACAACGAAGAGGAGATGGAAGGACCAGGCTTTTCTTTTCTGCAGTCCTGAACTGTTTACCTCGCTTCATGGCCCTGCACCCTGTATTTCTGAAAAAGAAAAAAACCCTACAATTTCAGTCAACTGCAAAGACTTTTTAGAGTGCTTTAGGATGTATTTGGATGAAAAAGTGTGTAAAAATAGAAAGTCAACACCCTTCCCAATTTCTATGCTCTATAGGGTTTCTGCTCCCACAGACACTCAAGGTGATGTTGGAAATCCTTTGAGTGCGTTTGCAACTGAACTCGCTGTCCTGATGCATGCAGCTGCACATGCTTCATACGTGCTGCTCTAGTCTTCTTGGTACTTCTCCAGTCATTTTAAGCCACACAGCCCTTCAGAATTCAAAGTCTGTCTCCTCAGTGTCCCCCCCTCCTCAGGTTCTGGAGCCAGTAGCTGCAGAGCTRCTTGTATATTTACTTAAGGCAACCTCATGAGAGAGTTTCAGCTGTTGTCTTGCCTCAGAAACTTTTGTTAGCTTTGATGCTGCTTACCAAGTGAACACCCTGCATTAACCCACATGATCTKCTAGCCTTCACAACACTGAGCAGATTCGAACTGCATGGAAAGACAGAAGATCTGGAGTTTACTGACCTTCACACCCCATTACAAAGTCCAGCTTTCACTCAAGCTTATGTTTAATGAGATGACATGAAGGGCTTAAGTAATGGGGTATAGTATTCATGTGRACATAAACTACCCGAGCAAAGGCCTACTCCTGCCTGTATCTTCTTCCTCCTTTATCTTGCCCCTTGTGTCTCACAGCTTCACCCCTTTGCCCTTGTTTTGACTCCTTCCTGATCCTCCCACCAGGTGACWATTTGAATTTTAAAACCATTTACATTCCAAAATGTGCATAATCAGATTTTTATCCTGTACTTTTCTGATGTGACTTTTTTATTATGACATCAAGTACTGACCCATAATAAGGATGTAAATGCCCACTTTAATGTCTATTAGCAGTATCTGCAGATGCATATAAAATTATAGTATCATCACATAACTACATATTAACCTCTTGAGCTCCATGACAAACTCTCCAGGGAACACTGTATTCCAATTTTCAATTACCAGCAGTAGTTCAGTGACAAGCTGCAGAAACTGTAGTCATCCTTATCCTAAACACTCAAGGTACTTGCAGAATGACAGAGTAGACTCATTCTGAAAATATCAGTTCTGATGYTTCCAGTTGCCAGTTATTTGTGACAAGCATTTGGGTTGTCCCCAGGAACATATACAGTATTTAAGTATACATACAGGTGGGATGTAACTTACTTGAAATAAATTGTGATTTTCAGCAAAATTGTTTCTGAGTCATGTGGTAGTGCATCATCACCACTATATCCACAGTGATTAGCAGAGAGAAGATAAGGTGTACAGCAACATACCATGTGCCATCTTTTATGCTTCAACAATGCACTTTGTTCAGAAAATGCCCACTTAGAACAGGTGCGAGGTGTAATGTGTGAGCAAGGAATGATGTGGACCACAGAATTTTACTGCAAGGATAAGAAAACCACAATTGCAGCTCCCTGTCCAATCCAAGATGGTATTAATGAAAATTCAAACATTCTGATTTTCATCTTTCAGGTTAATGGGATCTGTTTACATCAGAAAATGGGTATTCATCTGCAAACAGAGCCTGCCAACCCACATCTAACAAATGAACACTAAAAAAAGCTTGTAGAGGGAGGTTGTTTGTTTGTCTTTCTGGTTTTTTTAAAGATGCACTAATTTCTCTAGCAGATGTAGACTGAGTCCTTGGAGAGAACAGAACAAAACTTAGGATAATAAAGACAATAGTACCATTTTCTCTTTGTACCCTTCTCCTTCTTTCCAATACAGCTCAGTTAGACAAYTGATTCTGATTCCAAAGAGAATCTGTGTTCCAGAGGCATTCTTCCCAAAATACACACTAAGGTTTCTGATATTTTAAAACTTTGCTGAATTGGGCATTGGCAGGCAGCCTATCATTTGTTAAAGAGCAGACAGGTTTACTTCATTAGACAATCATTACTTTGTAGTTTAGAGAAAATAATCAAGAGGACAATACTTGAAATATCACTGCAAGACAGTCAAAATTCATATAATCCCATGATGTTCAGGTAAAAGTATATAAAGTGTGATTGTTCAATAACAAGTTTTCACCTACCTAATCCACTTTCTTAAGATGCAGTAGACAAGTTATTTCACAGCAGATTCTCTGTGATCTATGCATTTGGGCTGCTCTTTCAATTCCTTTGAAGTCCAGGAATCATAGTATTTCCAAAGACAAAACATATTTAGGGAAATTAAAGTACCTTTATAAAGAAACTCCAATACAAAGTGAATACATACCAAAAAGTCCTAGCTCAAATATATATATATATATATATACATACACAGATATACCTATATATCTGGTTACAGATATAAATACTCCAAAGGAAAGAAATCCCTTACTTGCCATCCCTTGGTGCATACACTTTACAGTAATGCTAAATCAAACTGTTACAGGGTTTATTATTTTCTTTGAGAGTAAGTTTTTACAGAGCACAGAATGCACATCTCTAGAGAAGCAAGAGGCAAGAACTGAAGGAGATTAGCAGCAAATGAGTCAGACCCAATGACAGAAAGGACAAAGCAGGAGGCTGTCAGGGCAACATTCTCATGGTAAAAGCAACTGACCACCAGCCCTGGAGAAATGCCTGCCTGCTGCAACCTCTCTCTTAGCTGAGAAGCCAGAGAGAGACTTCAGAAACAAGGACAGCACTCCTCACCTCATCAGTAATTGAGGCTGGATGTGCAGAAGCTCTGAGCACTCAGCAGTAGGAGTCTCTGGCTCAAAATGGGAGCATGTGTTTCCCCATGGAGGTGAGCTGGCTGAGTCCAAGCACTTGSAAATTATTTTGTGAAGCAGGATGAAGAAGAGCCCTAAGGCAACACTGGTGAACCTCTCAGGAAGCTGGTGTCAAAATTAGTAGGAAAATATCAGTGTCCGTGCTGGCATTAGTCTATCAGAAACACTGGTCTGCCACCACTGCACCTGCAGGCAGTCAGTGGGCTATGATCTTTCTCAGAAGATTTCTCCAGTCTTTGGGTACAATTCTCCAAATTTTAAAAACGTGTTTTGCACAACCTGTGTGCTACATATGCCCTGTTGCAGCAACTCCTAAGATCTGCTCAYATTCTCATGGTCAGACACCTCCCTGTCACTCTCCCACTAAAAATAAACAAAATTAATGTAGTTTACCAAAATTAATATAGTTTTGAAACTCTATGTTTCATTAAAAAAMCTATTACTAAGTATCTGTTCTTACTAGAAAATTGCTCTATGCCAGTAGAGAACAAAATTTGTACCCTAGATTTGAAATACCATTTTATTTAGATGGAAGAAATTCTCCATCAATGTGTAGCAAGTCTACTTTTATTGATCTATAGTTTCAGTTGCATTTCATGGACTGGAAAAGCATGAAGCAGGTTTGAAAAACTGCATAATTGATAAATGCTGTCACAGTCAGCCCTGTTACCAAACTTATCACCAGTTATTCAAATTGAACTGAGAAAATTCTCGGCCCTGGGATGTAAAATTAAGGACATGTAAACAAGAACTATTCACCTTTACAAATTAAATACTCCATTATTCAAAAAACTCAAAAATTGCAAGTAGGTGTAAGACTGAACCAGCYAGTAATATTTTTTAGCTATCTGAAATTTTTGACATCACCAATAGTTTGCCAAATCTGAGCCCTTMCCATAAGACAATCTATTGTTTCTTGTTCCAACGCCTAGTACCTAACAAAAATCAGCATATTTCACTGGGAACCCTTCCCAATTCTCACAAGCGCAGCTTGTAGAAGAGAGATGAAAATAACCCCTTTTAAAAATTGGAAAATTCTGTACCCCCAATATAGTGTTAAAAACTTGAAGCCATTTCCAAAGGATCTTGATCTTTTTGTTTAAAAATATTCAGTCCACTTGGGATCTAATTTTTTACAATTTATTCATTGGAACAGTTAAGGTAAAGCAATTCCTGTGTTGTTCCTTCCACAAATACGCATAGCTATTAATACTGGGACACAAGTACAGGCAAAAKAAAATTCAAAGTCCTCTGCTCATTTGATCTTTGAAGTAACTATTATCATGGTAAAAAAGAAGGATGCCAATCTACCTTAAAAGGATTTTAGCRTTAGCAAAATGAATAGATATCCATTAAACTATCAGTTGAAACTCACCTGCTCATTTAAATGACATCCCATTTGGGACTGGGCAGATCTGACGCAGYGACTTAGAAATGAAAGGCTGCTTAAGAAACTCTGGAATTGTTTCAAATTCTGAACAGGGAGCATTGCACTTGTCTAGAGACAATGTCCTGACAAACTGGGAAACAAAATCATTACAAAAAAACTCCAAAGAATGGACATGATAAATTACCTCAAATCCTTCACTCAAGTTTGCAATTCAAAGGAAGAAAAACACCGTAACTCCCTATAGACCTTCAGATTACAGTTTATACTTTATACTTACGGAAACGGTCAAGGAAGCATGCAGATTAATGGACAGCCCAATACTGTAAATCTAGGCAGATGTCAGCRAAACCTCTTTTCCCCCACTCTCAACTCAGTTCACTTTATATCAGATAAAACAGTTCTTTCATATATTGATTTATTTCCAGTTTCTATAATCAGAACAGAGATTCTGCAAGAGCCTCATTCAGAGAATACACATCTTATTCAAGACAGAGGAATACAAGCAGGAATCTTCCTTATTTACATGTTACCCTTAAAATAAGAGTCCCAAGAACTCAGAGTCCAATCCCTATCAAACAGGTAAATCTTACAGCCTCATAAAATATTTAGGAAATGCAGCTCTTCACAGACTTTGAGTAGACCTGTTTGTGAGCTGTCTCTAGCAGAGCCCTCTTTGACAGAAGGAGAAAGCTAAAATGCAACTGATGGTAGCTTTGGCTCACTGTCTGGTATTGTCAAATCTTGAGGGAAAATTTAAGGACTTCAGCAGTACCTAAGGGCTCTGGTCAGGTCAGACCAGTCTCAGATCACGGCCCTCTTAGAAATGCCTCTAGCAATGAAATCTCACATGCACCAATGTAGGCAACCTAAGCTTTAGCTCCATGTTTGTTTTTATGCCCATCTGCAAGACAAAAGCTGGTTTATTACTTAGTATTTCCAATTCCATAAAGGGTTTTCTACCCTTTAAGGCATGACATCTCTGATCCTCTTCTGATAAAATTGAACAGACTGAGCTCTTAAGTATTGCAAATTATAAATATGATCAGTACAAAGTTCGCTATAATACTGCTAAATAAAATGCAATAAATTTTGGAATTAAAAAAATCTTACTTTCTAGGAYCTTGTACATTGGAAAGCAGTGGTAAGGGCTTTACGTTCAGACTCAACTGCCTGAATATCATCTCCTATGGTAGTGTTACAGCAGCATTTGGGAAGTAAAGGCTAGCAGCATATTTGGATATATGAGTATATGAAGCCTGAATAGCAATATAAGAACACTCTACAAGGAGTACCRTAAGTGACTCTTACAGTTACTCTGTAACTCTGAAGAATACTTTCAGTGTAGACACTAGAACTGAATGCATATGGATATGGAATACTGGGGATTTTCATGCAGAAGCACAATTATAGGTTAAATGACAAGTTTTACAGTATGAAACTGATGAAAAATTACTTGTATGGGTCAGTGGATTACATAGGACTTGTTGACTGGGCATAGGTATACATGTCAAAAAAGCCTCATTGAAAAGAAAGAACAAGAGTTTTCAGCCTTTCTGGGAAAAAAAAAAAAAAGCATAGTAAGAAGCAATGTCAGGATGCTGATATTAGGGAAAAAATCCAAGAATATGTAAGTTATCTATAAAGAGGGTAATTAATAAGAAAACTGATTACAAACAAAGATATGCTAACCCTTACTTAATGTTCTCAGACATCAGGACATGTCCTTGTAAAAATATAATTAAAACCAGTTGCAGGATAAATACTATAGCCAAAGGTTCAAAAAAGTTTTCTCCAGCCTTGAAAAAAGTTTGTACATTTTTTTGAGAAAGGACATTGGGCTAAGAGAACATTAAAGTGAAGTATSACTGTGTTACTGCTTCATCCTTACAGCAAACACAGGTCTCCAAACCTAGTCACTGTAAGAAATAGACTACCAAGACAGGCAGACCTTTGGGCTGACACAGTACAGCCCATTTCATGCTGTTCATCCCATTTCCTTCAGGAAAGGAAAAGAGAGAAGATCTGCAAAATCCTGATCATCCTTATAATACTGGCATCTCTGCTTTAGGACATTGAATACTTTAGGTCATAACACCCAGGCCTCAGCAATACTTCCTGATTATTGTCTGCAAGTACATACATTTTGCATCTTTCTCTGATATAACAGGCTGTACCAGCCCATTTTCCAGTTTTACCAAATCTTTAAGTTGGTACAAGAATTTTCTTTACATAGTAGGCCAGTGTGCACATCTTTTCAACTCACTGGACTCACAGTGACAGCTATGTTTGCAGTGGGGAAGGCACTCTACCCACATTGAAGTTGATGTTGAAGGTTCCTTCAATCTCCACAAAGTAAGTCTGTATTATATGTCATGGGACTGAGGGCCAGCCACACTTAGGTCTCCAGACAGTTGAGTCTCCCTGCATGTGCCTGTGGCACTATTCACTTTCTTTAAAAAGAGATGCTTTGGTATGATTAAGACACCATGTTCTCTGTGCTGAGTTCAAGCCTTGTACTGGGTAAAAGTTAATAGCCTAAGATAATCTTGTTTTACCTTCTGTATAGCAAGTGTCCCCTTTATGTCTTATGTGCTTTATGTCTTAAGAACCATGGCTGTATTTTTCCCATATTTGATGGTACAAAAAGAGGACACCTCAATCACAAAACACAGACTGGAACAGAATACAGGAAACAAAGACACAGAAATGAAGTATCACAATGAGTATGGAAGTTCATCTGCCTTTGAYAGTCTCCTAACAGACTGTTAAAATACATTTCTGAACAAATGTAGCACCCTTAACTTCTGCTTTACTGAAAAGTTCTGGTTACAAACTGTTCCTCAAGACAACAAAGCAAAGTTCTTATCCACTTGACATAATTTCAGTATCTAGGCACACATACTGGGATTTTTTGTAGCATCTTCCTTCTCCAGTACAGAAGGGGTTACAATAAAAGAGGCACTCCATCACCCTTCTTGTTGCCCTTCCTACAATTTCCCTTCTCATCCTCTGCCCACTAAGCAGACATCTGCACATCCACAAAATAACAGGAAGAGCATCTACAGTTTGAAGGACAGCACTAACCTACTCAAYGTCATTATTCAAGAATGATGCTGGCAAGACACACCTCTGCATACCACAATCATGAAGCTAATCTATCATTCAACAGCACTAGTCCCAGCCTCTAACAAGTTTCTCTCCAGCTCTGTTTTGCTGCTTTCTTCACTTTTTACTGCACCTTAAAATCACAAATCCATTAGGACAGAAACTACATTCTTTTAATTCAGTCTTCTCCAGTTCCTACCAGTCTGGGCATTAAGCCTGAATAAAGCTCACTGGAACTACTGGAAATGTGCAAAGAACAACTAGAAAATGTGCTTCTCTCAGCTCTTSATTTTTCTTTCACTGAATGTCCATCTTCTCCCTGTACACTAAAGTATGTCATTTTAAGATTGGTCTCTGTCATCTATGAAAAACTGCTGCAGTTGCATGAGGTCCCCAGTGACAAGAAGGGGTATATATACATCACCTTTCTAAAAAGACAGGAAGGAGAATCAGTGGAGCGACAGGCTTGTCAGCCCTACCTCAGTCCCTTGTAGCTTTAAGGAGCAAGTTTTGGAAGCCWTTTCTAGGCACCCAAGGACAAAGAGGTGTCTAACAACAGGCAGACATTAAGTGATGGAAAATCAAGCTTCTATGATGAAAATATAGGCWGTGAGGATGCATAGTGGGCAGTGAATGCTGTATACATTGAGTTCAGTAAGCCCCTTAATGCAGTCTCTCATAACACCCTTACAGCCAGATAGTGGATGTATGGACTGGATGGCACCTAGAAAGGAAGATCAGAGAGCAGCTGGCCAGGTTAAACCATCAATGGTTTGAAATCTGCATGATGGTCCCTTATGGAAAAGTGACTCAGAAGACAATACTGGGATTGGTAGTGTTCAGAGATTATCAGTGGTCAGAGCATATTCTGAGCAAGATGAGACATAATGGCATGTTGAGGAAGGGAGCCACTGATATGCTGGAGCATGGGGGTACCATCAAGAGGGATTTGGACAGATTGGTGGAATGAAAAGACAGAAACATCATGAACTAAATGATTAAAATTGAATAGTTCAATTGGAAGGGACCTAAAATGATTAACTAGTGCAACAGACTGACCATTTCAGAACTGAATAAAAGTTAAACAAAGGGCAGCATCAAAATGTCTCTTAAACCCCAACAGGCTTGGGGCATCGACCATCTCTCTAGGAAGCCTGCTCGTGTTGATCCACCCTCTCTGTATAGAAGTGTTTCCTAATGTCAAAGCTGAATCTCTCTTGGCATAGGTCTGAACCATTCCCATGTGCTCTGTGATTAGATACCACAAAGAGACCAGCACCTCTCTCTCCTCCCCACCTCGGGAACCTGTACAGAACAGTCTCCTTTTCTCCAAACCAGACAAACCCAAATTCCTTCACCAATTCCCACAGGACATGCCTTCCAGCTCTTTCCCCAACTTGCTGTTTATTGTTTGCCCTGTTTTAAAATTACATCATGAGCTAGTCAAAGGAGGGGACTGTCCTGCTCTGCTCTGCACTGGTGCAACCTCACCTTGAGTCCGCTGTACAGTTTTGGGCACCACAATATAAGGGCATAAAGCCATTAAAGAACATCCAAAGGAGCGCTAAGAAGATGGTAAAGGGTCTGGAGTAGAAAGTGAATAAGGAGCAGCTGAGGAGACTCGGTCTGTTCAGCCTGGAAGAGACAACAGATGGGAGACCTCATTGCAGTCTACAACTTCCTCAGGAGGGGTAGAGGAAGAGCAGRCACTGACCTCTCTGGTGACCAGTAAGAGGGCCCGAGAGAATGGCCTGAAGTTGTGTCAGTGGAGGTTTATGTTGGATATCAGGAAGAGGTTTYTCATCCTGAGGGTGGTTGGACACTAGAGCAGGCTCCCCAGGGAAGTGGTCACAGCACCATGCCAGACACAGCTCAAGAAGKGTTTGGACAATGCTCTCAGGGACATGGCGTGATTCTTGGGGCTGTCCTCTGCATAGTCAGGAGTTCATAGAATCATCAAGGTTAGACAAAATATTTTAGGATCATTCAGTCCAGCCAGCAACCCAGCTTTCCCACTGTAACCCCTAAACCGTATCACCCAGTGCCAGGTCCAGATGCCTCTTAAGCACCTCCAGGGATGGTGACTCCATCAACCCCCCGGACAACCCACTCCAATGCCTAACTACCCTAACAGTGGAAAAAAAAAAAAAAGTCTAATATCTAATCTAATCTCCCTTGCCTCAGCTTAAGGATATTTCCTCTGGTCCTCTCACTATAGACACAGCAGAAGAGACTGGTCTCCACTCCACKACAGCATCCTTTCAGGCAGKTGTAGAGAGAAATGAGATCACCCCTGAGTACTGAGGGTGCACTCAATCCTCACATCCATACCCACAATAAAGATATTAAACAGGAATGGCCCCAAAATTGAACCCTAGGGAACCCCACTGATGACTAGTCATCAATTGGACTTAGCTCCATTTACCACAATTCTCTGGGCTTGGCCATCCAGCCATTTCTTTACCCACTGAAGAATCCATCCATCCATCCATCCATCCATCCATCCATCCATCCATCCATCCATCCATCCATCCATCCATCCATCCATCCATCCAAGCTGTGAGCAGCTGGTTTTTCTAGGAAGCATTTCCTAATTTTCAGTCAGCTGGAACTTCTCCAGTTAATCAGGACTTCTGTTAAGTGACTGACAGTGTATTGGGAAGTTCTTTCACTAATCCCTCAATACTCTGGGGTGGATCCCATCACGGCCCATAGACTTGTGAATGTCTAACTGGTATAGCAAGATGCTGACCATCTCCTCCTGGATTATGGGAGCTTCCCTCCACTTCCGGTCCCTAACTTCCACCTTTGGGGGCAGGGTATCTGGAAGCTTTAGGCAAAGAAAGCATTAAGTACCTCTGCCTTTTCTTCATCCCCTCTCACTACACTATCACCTGCATTCATCAAATGATGGAGACACTCCTTGATCCTCCTTTTGCGGCCAGTTCATTTACTGAAACATTTTATGTTKTTTTTAATGTAGCCACCAAACCGAGTTTTGGTTGAGCTTTAGCCCTTTTAATCTTCTCCTTACATGACTTTGAGACATCGCTGTAGTCCTCCCAATTTATCTGGCCATCCTTCCAGAGATAATACATTCTCTTTTTTCCCCAAAAGTCCCAGCCTAAGTTCTCTGTTTAGCCATACTGGTTTATTTATTCCCCAGGTACTTGTCTTTCTAAACATGGYGACAGTTTGTGCCTGAATACTTACAAATTCCTTTTTAAAGCACATCCAGCCTTCCTGAACTCCTCTGCCCTTCAGGACTGACTCCCAAGGGACTCTGTCAATCACTCTCCTAAAAAGGCCAAAGTTTGCCCACTGGAAGTCCACGGTGGAAGTTCTGCTGGTGCCCTTCCTTACTTCATCCAGTATTGAAAACTCTTAACATTTCATGGTCACTATGCCTGAGAGCTGCCAACCACCACATCACCCACTAGTCATTCTTTGTGGACTTGCTGATCCCTGTAGGTCCCTTCCAAGTCAGGTTATTCTGTGATTCGATGATGTAAAGGATTTTAAATGCCTTTCACTAGCACCCAGTATGATTTCCTCTATAATTTTTCCAGGTACTGGGGCTAGACTAACAAGTTTTCTTGGGTCTTGCTTCATGCACTTCTTGTAAACTAGAATAATGCTGACTAGCTTCTAGTCAGCGTGGACCTTCCCAGACTCCCAATACCTTTGGTAGGTGATTKAGAGAGGTCATGTTACAACAACCACCAGCTCCTTCAGTACTCTGGGACAAATCTCCCCTGGCCTCACAGACTTACGAACATTCAACTGGTCCCCTATAATCTCTATGTACACAAATAGGAAGTCACTATTCCCACAGTAACGGTCCTCCAGATCAGAGAATGTGGCAGCCCAAGGTCTGTAACTACTACAAGAAACCAACGCAAAAACAACACTGAATGCCTCCAATTTTTCTTCACTCCCATTTGTCAGGTGATCATCTATAACAAAAATCAGTCCAATGTTTTCCTTAGACCTCCTCTTGCTATTAATGTACTTCAAAAAGCCTTGCTTGTCTGACACACAACACTGGCCAGTTTCAACTCTAATTAAGTTTYGGTCTTTCATATCTTCTCCCTGCATATGTGAACTACAGCTCTGTAATTTTTCTGTGAAGCTTGACTTCGCTTCCAGAGATCATACAATTTCTTCCTGAGTTTCAAGAGGAGTTCCCTGGTCAGTTAAGCTAGTCTTCTGCATGCCTTGTTTGTCATTCAACACAGAGAGATCACATGCCTGTGTACTTCTAAAAGGTGGTTCTTAAAAACTGACCAGCACTCATGGAAGAGCACACTAGTAACTTGCTCACTGAGTTCCCTAAAGTTAGTTCTGTTGAAATCCAGGGTAGCACTTTGCTAACCATTTTCCTCATAACACCAAAAATTTTAAAATTACCCATTTCATGATTCTATGGCAAAAGCAGCCACCTACCATCATATCTCTCAAAAGTCATTTTTATTCATAAATAACAGGTTTAGGAGGGCATCTTTCTTAGTTGGCTCACYGAGTACTTGTGACCAGAAATTATCTTCAATATACTTCCGGAATTTCCTGGACTTGCTTGTCACAGCAGTATGGTATTCCCAGGTCACATCTGGGATATTGACATCTCCCATAATGACAAGGAGAAAGACAMCTGGAGAGAAGTAAACACTGAAAAAAAAAAGACGGGGGCGTCCTGGTGGACAAGTGAAATATGAGTGAGCTCTGTATCTTTGAAGCAATAATCCCAAACTGGACCATCTTCACAGAAGCACAGCTGCCAGATCAAGGCATGTTATTCCTTTCTACTCAAGTAAACCACATGTGAAGCAGTATCTTTCACATTGAGTACTTTGTGAGCAGAGTGAATTCTATGAAATTTGCCTCAGCAAAAAAAAGAGGCAAAACAATGGACTTAGTTTATTCATCCAAGAAWGCTGCAGATATTGAAATCCACATCAAGTTTGAAGATATATTTTGATAAATACCTTGGAGTAACAAGATACATGATTCATTTAGCTTGCCTACCACTCAGGAGAATCAAATTTGGTTGAGAATCTGACTTGTAAATGGATTCTAACCTAGAAGTAGGAAAGACATGGCACCTGCAATAATTGGAGTCTTCTGGAACTTCCAGAAAGCTGCCATGGCAGGAAGTACGGCTTGTCAAGACAAGACCTGCCACAGTTACTCCTCAGTGCTGCCATGGGTACAATCAGCATTTAAAGACAAGAAATACCTCCTAGGAGCTTACAACCTAAGTAAGGGTTTAACCGGATAACAATGCTACTGACCTTAATAGGAAAATCTGATCAATTACCTTTCCCTGCCCCCAGAGAAAAATCACATTAAGCATTGCAACCCACCCCTTCACCACCACAATGAGATGAAGGCTCTTGATTCCCTAACATCTTTTCCAAGAAGTTTTTACAGCATCCACATATCACAGAAGACAAAAAAATAATTTGGACAACACTCAGAATGCAGCAAAATACATCACAATTTGTTTTAAAAAGGGAAATACAAGGGCTAAAATATAAAATTTTAGCAGAATTTTAGAAAACTGAGTCAGTCTGTTGAATAGACTCAAACCAAGAGAGTTTGTAGAGAATACTTCATGAGATCAAAATCACTCAATTTCACAAATGCTCTTTAGGGAGCCACTCCCTATCATTGGAGCAGCATGTTAAGATTACAAGGCTGCAAATCCTAAATTTTATCTGAAAATTGTCAGGAGAATGTGGACCACCTTTCCCATTCACTGTATTCATGAGTATTACATAGTCAAGCTGCTACTGTTCAGGTGTACCTTCTCTTCACATGTTTTAGATTACAGGCCCTCCAGTGCTGAACTTCCTGTGCTACCCTTTAGGCAACATTGCTCAAAACAGCTACAAATAAGACAAACTCATGACTACTTTAAAACAGGAACACTCCTTCCTCCACAAACTATTACAGCTTTCCCAGTAATCCAAATGGACCTCTGTATTCCTTCATTAAGGTAAAAAGGCTTTCCCTGTTCTAAATAGTTCTAAACTGTACCACCCAAAATAAAAATTAAAAATATTTTGAGAAGGATTTATAGTGACAGATTTGACAGTTTGCTTGGACTGCAAAATATAAATCCAATTTGGATGTCGCCCCAAGAATAAGTAGGTATTAGGGGATCAGACACAGACAGCGTGTCTGTATTATAACAAACTATACTTGTCAATCATGATTTAGCAAGTCATTCAATTTCATTTTAAAACAGACTTAATACAAATCACTGTTTCATATTTTCCCAATCAAATCTCTCCCTCAGCCATTTGATTTATAAGAAAGCAAAACACTRCAAAACCACTAAAATCATGCAAATTTTGCTATCTGCTTAGTAGTGCTTGATGCACCTCCACAATCAAAAAAATTTTACAAGTTTAAATGGTCCTATCAGAAAGCCCCACACAATGAAGAAAGCAAAAAGTTCAATTCATACAAACAGATCCTATTTTAAAGGACTTAAGAAGTTGTGAGGCCACCTGTTCCTTGGCACATGCTATACAGGTACATATTCTGAAAACATAGTCCAAGATAAGTTCCAGAGCAATTAAAAAGAGGGAAGAAATCCATTTCCATATATTTTGTTGAAACACAGATGGTAACAGCAGACCAACTGGAAGTTCTATGAAGAGAATCTCTTTAGTGTACACTGCAGTGTCAYGTGCAATCATCAGCAGATGGAGACACCTCCAGTAGGTTTAGCAGACAATACTTTTGAAGGGAGGGAAAGCACGATACAGAAGGAGTYTGATCTATACCGATAATGCTCTGAACTCAGGTGACACTTTAAATGGCTTTTTTGTTCAATGGCATGTTAACTTCAACAGCAAGCATCTTTTTAAAAACACTAACAGATGYTTTTTAATTTATACACTGAGATACGAAGTTTTGTATAATCTTCTACCATACTGCAATATTCAAGGTCCAGGTTACTTTCCAGGACACCAGCTTGCACATTTATGTCCAAGTAGTTCTCCCAAATCCTTATCCAGGAGGAGATTTAAGAATGAACATGCAATACACAATAAAGACTGAAGAGATTAAGAACAAGGGAGAAGGAAAAGATCTAATGGACAATGCTGCCAGTGAGCTAATGGCAATTTCTATGTAGACAAGCACCATATTCGCTTTGGCAGAAGCAAACATGATTCGAGTTCATTAGCACATGACCTGAAAACATTCTGCTAATACAGAATTCAGGTTTCACRTTTCCATGTGTTAGTATTCCCTCCTCATTCCCCAGCCAGGAAATCCTTCTGGCATGGAAGAAAGCAAGGGGAGGCTTCTGCTTCTCTAAATGGCACTGGGACTCTCACCCCAAAAAAATGCTGAATRCACAAAAAAGCAACATGTCCAGGGGGTGAATAAAGATCTGAAAACCCAAAAGAACCTGTACATGACCCATTACATATGAGCTGGCATCAGGGAAAGAGATGAATTCATAATAAACAGAGAAATAGCAAGATAATCTTTTAAAGTCACTGCGGTTCCAACACTGATTACCTTCTCTTAAACAYAGATTCACAAACATGACTTAGGTATGCAGGGCACACAGACCAGTCTGGATGATGGCACGCATCACGCACCAAATACTGAAGACAGCACTACTGCCAAACAAGATGTTTGGTGCAGACACACACCAGAATCAAACACTTCCAAAATCAAAGAAGCTTTTAGAGTTGCATTTCTTCCTTTTAGCTGTATCCAGGGCTCTTCTCTGGTGGCATTTTAAAAAAGTTACTGGAAGAATCAATAGTAGATTTCTCAGCTGCTGATGTTTTCCCAGTCCACTCAGAATTCTGAGATCTCAAGGATGGTGTTGCTGGTAGCTCTGATTCTGCTGCATCCATGTGGATAGACAAAGTTCCTGGAATATAAAATTGCAGGAAAGGGGGAACAAAGGAAGAGAATAGGAAAGGATGATAAAAAAAAGTTAGAACAGCTCATATATATAATTTCAGCTATGAAGATGTTATTTACTGAATTCCTACAATCTAAATTTCTTCCCAATCTAAATTTCTTTGATATAGAGGTTCATCATAACATTAACACTTTTGTTCTGATTCACACATTCAAAACTCAAAGTTCCCAGTCCACTAAATAGTTTTCTTAGTCAGAAAAATGAAAAGTTTTAGTTGTCCCATATTTAAACTGAATCAATTCACAATCACTCATCTGAAGATAACTTGGACTCCTTGCAAAGATTCAATTAACTCCGCATTTGAGACTTTCAAAGTCTCTGAAGGCATGGCAAATTTCAGGTTGCTAAGCTCATAAAAAGAGGAAAGCATACCTCTCCTCACCCAATAAGGGTAGTACCATGAACCTCCACATATATCCAACACGGTAAATCAGCATATTATGACAAGAAGCTACTTGCCAAGCTAGGTGGAAATTATTCTCATTTTCTCAATACAACCACTGCATCAAAATGTGACGGCTATAATAGCCAAAGAGATTCACAGATCCATAGCTCAACCCAACAGTCACACAAATTTCCAGAAAGATTGTCAAAAACTTAGATATGAGAGTTTACTTCAATTCTCAGTATCCTGAATCACTCAGATTATCTCTGACACCCTCACAAGCAGAACAGGGCAGGGTAAAGAAGAGTAACTGCTGTAAGAGTCTTTGGGACAAACAAAATTTTTTTTGCAAGTAACTGTTTCAATACAAAACACATTTCTTTGTGGTAGTCTCACAACAGATAATAGTTGTTTATGTGTTTTAATTACAAGTCGCATCTGCTGCTCTGTTGTGGATGAAGGATAAAGAGGCCACAGCAAGCCTCAACTAGAGGACACATTGCTTTGGAGTTTAAATAAAAGGTTGGTTCAATGCTTGAGGTTCCACACTGAGTAGATCTAGACCCCCAACAATGCTGCCCCTGTACATCCACAATGGTGAGTCATTCCCATACAGCTACATCACAGCTGATAAAAGTACATTGCAATTTTAGGTCTAGCCCATCATCTTCCTCTATCTGAAGGCCATACAAAACATCAAAAAAACAACTAAGTCAATGTCCTTAAACTCAAAATCACCACCATTACTAYACTATGTGATCCTTGCTAGCAGCCTCCCCACTCAGGTTCTCCAACTTTCTTCATAAAAASAAAAAAAGCAAAGGACTGAAACTGGCTTCTTGTTTCTGGGTATGAAAAACCACCATGACCAAGGGCGAATAATTAGCAAAAAACAGGAGAGAAAGAACTCACCAAATTGTTACTACTCATCAGACTGTTCTCTGATAAGCTGTTTCAMAGGCTGCTGTCACCTTTTTCACAAGCGAAGTGTGAATACATGCCAAGGCAGACAAATATCTATTTATGTAGATTTTTACCCCAGACTGACTGTTATAGCTRAATAGGATGCCAGTTACCATGGGTACTGCTACATATATAGAGGATTGAAACACATTAAAACATTAAAAACATCAGTGTAAAGATCGACAGTTGTTCACCATTTATTGCACAACCATCTGTACTTGTGGTCTATTCTGACAAACTGAAGACAGACGTGATAGTCTTCATCAGATTCCTTTCAAACCAGAGAACTTCCATGAGAATTGCATTTTATGCAGTACCTCTCAAACAAGCTATACTGCGCCACTGGGGATATTATTCCAAATCTACTGTACTGCGATGGAAAGTAACTAAACGCAMGGACACCACACATGCCTTTGAAATCTCAGATCACTGAAAGGTCAAAGGACCTTTACCGCCACAGACTTTCTTCCTCCCTAGGCACTGGCTATTGGTCAGTGAATTGTATGAATCTCTGGTCTAATTCAGTACAGCCAGCCTTAACTTCCTCCAGATTTCCAYATTCTACTGCCAAACTAAACCAGCCAGACTTTTGTTCTTATCTGGTCAAAGTCTCATCCTTAGGGCTCACATTGTTCAATTGTGTAGTGTGGAAAACATTAATTTTTAATCTCTCTGAATATTTGCATAAATTTGCCCAACTTAATTTTGATAACAGTCACTTCCTAAAGTGCAAATTAATTCTGAATTTTCTACCCACTTTTGTTGTTCTCAACAGTACCTCAGTTATCGTATTTGGCCAGTTAGCCTCAAAGAACAGGATTAATACCGGAAGTTTAATGTCATAGCAATACAATAGAGACTTAAGGCACTTCTTCTACAATAGTACAATTTTTTGGCGTTCATACAATGGTCTCTGTCAGAAGATACTTTACCAGAACTCATAAATACTCACATTCATGAAAGTATATGAGAAGAGATGAAATAAATTCAGTTGCTTGGTTCCCAAATAAACATTATCTCTATCTCCCTTCTCTCATTCCTGCACTGAGGAGGGAAATAGCATCYGCATCTCATCTGGCATTCATTAGCATCTTCTGATTTCAGCCAAATTCAACTCAAAACTTTCTGTGGATGGTGGGGGGGTGAGGCGACAGGGGAAGATTTGTAGCTGCATGTTTAAGAAAGAAGCTAAATTCATCACAATGACAGGGGATAGTGTTGGCAGAGATTTGAGCTATTTATTCTTTTAGGAAAATCCTATAAAGAATGACACGAGGAAGCCTCTATCTGCAGTCTTGTTCATCACAGTGGTGAGGAGTCCGATAACAGATGTATGCAGTAGCGTGATTTAGTGCCAGGAGCTGGCCCCTGATGTGTATTAATACAGCGGCAAAGCGGAACGAGCCCCTCTTCATCACTCATCTCTATAAAAGAGGTGGAATCCGAGATGGCCCGATGTTCGGCAGAGCAAGCCCATTTGTTCTGCTGACTGATGAAGCCAGCTCAGGCTGTGTCCTTCACCTCCATGGGGCACTCAGGTTGCAAAAAAGGAGATCACTGAAGCAGGACCTGGTCAACAAGTGAGACGAGAGCAGTTGGACTCAGCTAAGGAGCTATTTAAAGGTGAAGAAATCCAGCACTCTGTGTCTGCATGATGGGTACAGGCCTGCACTCTGATTTATCGGTGCTGCACCTTTTGCAGAAGTAAAACACCACAAACATAAAAAGCCTCAGAAGTGAAAAAATAAGACTGCCATGATTCCTCAGGCACACAGGAACTCCAGTATATGGCATTTATACAAGGATGAGTAGATCCATGGTAAGGGAGAAAAATCTTTATCTCATCCATATCCAACAAACATAAGAGTAGCCAGTTAATTCTACATTAGTGCAGAGTAATATTATGTATCTTTCCAGGCATTAGTAATTCCATAGCAAAATCCCTTTTGACAGAAATAACAACRGATTCCAGAAGTTTCCTTCCAAGTTACATGTCCAAATTGTTWCAGCTGTAACTAGGAGTCTGCTGTAGAACGTCACCTAGGACACAGCTTCAGTTACCCAATCACAAAAGTCTCTTTCCACAAGTCCATATTGCAGCAAACCCTGCCCACAGCTGTTCACTTTGCTGAGGATATTTCTAAACAGGGTTTAAGGAAGAGATCTTTATTATTTCTGACCATTAAAGAGTTTGCAGCACTTTTCGCTTGATGATCAGCACAAGAATGCTGTCTGTACTCTAATAACTACACTCCTTCCTTATTTTGCAGCACATAATAATCTTCCCTCCCTCATCCACAATAAGAAAAGTTTCCAAACCCCTGTGCTATTTTCCAGTGCTAAGTTCCACTCCAGATGCACTCTCAACTCTTCAAAAAGTGATTCACTGTACAATTTGCCTAATCAGGTAAGTCCAACTTAAATAGTATTTTGAAACATGTAGGCATAGAAACAGAAGCTCTGCTTATAGAAAGTGGCCAGCACTGAACATATTCTGAATAATGAATAAATGGACAGGTGACAGGGGACAGTGAGACATTASCACTCATAAAAAGAAAATCTAGTATTCCAGTGTTAAAATTCTGGGGCTACCAATATTAACCATTTCATGAAAGTAGTTTGAATATCTAAAAATTAAATACTCAAAAGCCAGGTAAGAATAAACTAAATAATCAAACAATAATAGATGAGACTTTTTGCTGAGCAACTGATAATTAATGTTCTTTTCTCTTCTTTTTTTTTTTTTTTTTTTTTAAAAACAGAACCTTTCAGATAGTTGAAATCCAGATTTGTGGCCTGGAGAGAATGCCCAATTTTCTTCCCTATTTCATTATTTTACTTTCTATCCACAAGCCCAAGGAAGAAACAGAAACTTCCTTCTATTCATCACCAGTTTCTTTGGTCTTCCTCACTGTTTCCAGAACTCCATTCTTCCCATCAGCTTACCCACCTTGTTACTGGATTGCAAGAATTGTTTTATAATAAACTAGTTGGAAGAACATGTGTCGGCAGGTAGTCACAAGGTAGGGTAAGGTGAGAGGCCAGAAAGAAGCATCTTGAAACTCTCTGTGTTCTCCAGATTAAAGCTTTTTCATATTCTGATGAGTAATCAATCACTTTCCAGAAATTTGCCACATGAAAATAGACCAGYGTTTTAATGACTACATCCCCAGAACAAGAAAAAAGTAACTTTTTTCATCCAGAAGAGTAAGATAACCCCCAGGGAATAAGTGGACTCACCCAGTGATGATACAAAAATTGCCAGATTTTTGCTCCTGTTACAGTGTCTACAAGTACCCTCTCATAAAGGGCATCAGAGCCACCAGTTAATGCCGGCCCAACATTGAAGGAACACACTGTGCATACTGATCAACTCCCTCTTACCACGGACTGCATTATTTAGGACAGTGGAAATAACACCTTATGAAGAGGAAGATTACTATTCACTCTACAGTAAAGCACTGTAATTTTTATTAACTTAACAKCATTACATAGACAAAAATTAGTTTAGTAGGCAGCTTTTGATGCTATGCAAAAACACATGATATGCTCTCTCACCTATTTCATTAGTTTCAAACCAAAGTAACACTACTTTCACCTATGGCACTTTGCTCAAGAGGAAGGACTTTAAAAATGCTGGCAGGTTACCTGATGTTGTGCTAGATGTGGAGGCTGCAGTTGGCTTTCGTTTCCTCTTGATGTCCCTTGAGCATGGTGGTCCCAGGTGGACATTTGTTTGCCTAYGGAGAAATTGAAACAAGTTCAACACCATTCCAATATCACATTACTGTAAGACTGACCAGTCACTTCCAACTCCTATCATCCCATCAGCTTCTTAATTAGTAAGCAGCACAAATCAAAAGATTCTCGGGGAAGTTTTGCTCACATTCTTTGTCAATATACCTTATGCTCCAATTTCTTTTCAGAGCTCACACATAAACTGCTCAGAAGAACAATTATTTCTTAACCTTTAACGGATCTGGTTTTGTATTAACTTTAAAATAACTCCTTGCATAYGTAAAGATGTGATCAAGCAGTGATATGACACATGTCCTACAATTACTTCTATACAAGAATAGCAAATGTTTGTAAGATTGCTCTTTAAATATACTGTGTGATGTTTGCTCCTTAGTCAGAAATTATTTTGCAATCTATTTGGTATGGCAGAGTCATCTTAGWATGTACCTATACTGCCAGATGTCCATGCACATTGCTTCCACTCCAGTAGTAAGTTCACAAATGGGAATGCAAAACCATTTAAAGTGTTTTCTAAATCATTATTTGCTTATCAAAGTGCTGTGCAAACAGATGAATCTGGCTTATGGCAGTCTTGTCATACCTCTAAACTGGCTGAAAGTCATAATCTGTTCTTTTAGTATCAGCTGTTAAGTCTGAAGCCTACTGATGGCCATTTCAGTTTAATCATTTCCCAGTTAAGAAGTAATCATTTGCCARTTAAGAAGAAACCTGTATTGTTGGAACTGACATGAGCTAAGAACTCCTCCAAGTTAAATACCTGACAAAAGCAGAGAAGTTTAATTCAGAAATAACAGTCTTTGCAGAAGACCAGAGAACTTTCTCAAATACCATCCCTAATGAATACAAACACATAATTTAGCAATGACATTGGGTTCAAATCCCTTCTTTGTCCAATATAACACACTTGATTTGGCAATTTCCTTGGTCACTCTTATTATCAGATCTGATGTGCAAAATGCAGAACTACAGTGCAAATAAAATCAGTTAGACGGTGAGGTGCTACCATGGTGGAAAATTTGGAATCATCAATATAAATTTTGATGATTAAGTGATGAAAAACTTCTGTGTCTTCAAAGTTTGGCTTTTTGGTTTGTTTTTTTTCTTAAACCTGGAAGTTTAACAAACATTTTTACCATGTACTAAAACCTTTTACATATAACAAAAGGAAAAGTTCATGGGTTTTTATTTCCATGACAAAAATCTATTAAAAAAAACAAACCCAAACCAGCATATTTACAATATGTGTAATTTTTAGATGCTGTATTTATGCAAAACCAAAGTGTGCTATTACATCTATACAGAACAGTTAGGGACCACAAAAAGATACCTACATTAGTCCAGTCTGAATGCTGYTGTGTCTACCTACTTACCTGTAAAAAAGTGCAACCACAAAATAAAGGAAATACCTACTCTTTCACCTTCTCAAGTAAAATTCAAAAGCTCTACAAGAACTCTACAAGCTCTGTCTTGTAAATCTGACAYTAAAGAAGAGTTTCAAAAATTCTTAAATTGTGCTAAGTTTCACAGCCAGCCTGTATTTCAAATCTGAGAACACATATTAATACAACCAGACAAAAGAAGTCTCCTGAGGGCATTGAGTGTACTCTCAATAAACTCACCAAGATCAAGGTCCAGCTCCTTCACTTTGGCCACAACAACCCCATGCATGACTACAGGCTGGGTGAAGAGTGGTTGGAAAGTGGCCCAGAGGAAAAGGGTCCAGGGGTCCCAACTGACAGCAGCTCAACACAAACCAGCATGTGCCCAGGTGGCCAAGAAGGCCACTGGCATCCTGGCTTGGATCAAGAATATTGTGGCCAATGGRAGCAGCAAAGAGCTCACACCCCTGTACTTGGTGAGGCCTCATCTCGAGTCCTTATGTCCAGTTTTGGGCCCTTCACTACAAGAAGAAAATTGAGGTGCAAGAGTGTGTCCAGAAAAGGGCAGTGGAGCTGGTGAAGGGTGTGGAGCACAAGTCCTCTGCAGAGCAGCTGAGGGAGCTGGGGTTTTTTAGCTTGGGAGAAAGAAAGCTCAGGGAACACCTTAATGCTCTCTACAACAGTGAAAGGAGGCTGTAGCCAAGTGGGGGTCAGTGTCTTCTCCCAGTCAACTGGCAAAAGAATGAGAGGACACAGCCTCAAGCTGTGCCAGGGGAAGTTCAGGTTGCATCTCAGGAGGACTTTCTCCAAGGAAAGGGTTGTCAAGCATTGGAATGGTCTGCCCAGGGAGGTGGTTAGAGAAACCATCCGGGAGGGTGAAATGTTTTCAAAAATACTGGCACACCTATAGAATGCACATTCAAATCTCGTGTTAACTCACCGTTAACTAAATTTGTATATGCTTTAAACTGCTTTTGTACACGACTGTAATAGTGGCTACATAGTGTTTTAACATAGCTGTAACCATGTATTCTGAAACATCTAAACACACATAGCCTGAGGAAAAGAATCAGGTTTCTATTTTGCATCAGTGACACAGATTACTAACTACATGACTACATAATTATACATAATAATCCAACTAATTTTACAGAATAATAACAATAACAAAAGTAATTTTAAAATGTTCCCTTTTTAATTTAATGAACTTACACCAATATTAGCCAGCTGACTCTTGGTGGAGAATCACCATGGACAAGGAAAGAAGTATGSACTATCATTTCCAAGTGACTTTATGAAATTCTTCCCAGTTCACAAATGTTACAGCTATATTTCGAGTAAGAGCTCCTGGCTCTCAGTTACATACTCAAACATCTACCCTTACCTGACAATTACATAGAGGGTAAAAAAGAAGAAAAATGAAAAGAGAAGAATCTCAAAATCCCATCTTGTACTGAAAGTAAAGGCAAATCATACTTCAGCTGAAGGCTACTAGCAAGGATGCTGTATCCAGTAGCCCTGCCTCTAAGACACAAAGGCTCAGAGGTCATAAATTGTCTCTGTAATGTTTTTCATTCAGTTTTATCCTTTATTGATCACCCACACTTCAGTTAGTAAATCAGGAACCTATTGATTACTCACTGGCTCTGACTGACCCAGTGGTAAAAGTGTCTTTTTAAGTGGCTGATGCACTTTACAGGCACCATAAATCTGCATGCAGGCAACCTCCAGGTGGTAGGTACCTTAGAGGARAGAAGAGGGAAGACTGCATGCAGGCATGACAGCCCTCATTAAGGCATGGACAAAAAGGATGTCTGAGGTATAAYTTATGAAATATGCACATTCTTCATAGATATCACACTTTTCAATGCAAATTTCTAATTACTAGCTTGTATACAGCTCTGTATCAGTGAGATAATAGAATTAGTGAATCCAGTTTAACAGCAGACTCCTACAAACACCATCACCACCAGGAAAGTCAATCATAGATATGCACAGCACCCAATGTAGCAGCGAGAAAGCTTAATTGTAAAATGTGAAAATATCATTGACAAGTTGCAGTGATGAATTCTTCCAAAACTAACTTTTAACAACTCTTCTGAACAGCAAAAATTACCCTGGAGTAGACTAGAACAGGAAAGGCTGACAGAAAAGGTATAATTATGCATTGTTACAGCCTCCTCTGTGAAGAATTCTGAGATCAGAACTTTGTGAGATTAAAGAATTGGGCTTAAATTGATAAACTAGAATAGGACTTACACTGTCCTTACTAGCTTTCAATCTCTTCTGCTAGGCATCCATGCTTTCTTCAGTGTTGCATAAACAGTAATGAGAAAATAATTCCCTGGTTTCTTTTGGACTATGACAGGTTGAACACAAGAAAAGAACTGGAGTCTCAGTCCTGTGTCATAAGTGGATCTGACAGGTGACCAGAGACTAACATGAAAACCTAGTTTAAAATCTAGAGATGACTGAAATTCTAACCTGGGAAGAGAAAAAGGAAAACACACTTAGAGAAACATATCATGATACAAAATGCGGCTGGTTTGTTTGCTACAATATATTCAACTCACACTGCAGTCCCTCACTGCCAGGTGTTACTGAATGAAAAATTACACACGTACAGGAAAAATGGCTTTTGAAAATATGAAATGTCTACAGTGTCTTTTTGACAGTGATAATATTTTTTGTAATCACAAAAGAAAGGAATTATTTAGGAAATAYGGATTTGTCTTTTGTTTTTAGCGTAGTACTTATGGTACTCAGTTCTGCATGCARGTCATGCTGGAGGAAAAACAGGCTTTGTTACACAGAAAGCTGAAATTCACAGTAGTCTCTAATGTGTCTGAAGCAACGCTTCCTTTCATTTCTTTTCCACATATTTATTCTATGACTTTATTTACATGCTTTTTAATGAACTGTTATTGCACACACCGAATGCCAATCTCACTTCTACAATTTGAGGTGACTGTACACTGGAGCTTGCCACTATTTTACATCTACCACAGAAAATTAGGGTAAGCAAGACAATCTGTGGGAGACAATACAGAGCACAAGCAGACACCAGCCCACAAACAACCTTAGTGAACAGCATCAGGGCCCTGACACTGTCACTGTCTGTGAAGTCTAAATTGTAGTGTGAAGTCCAATCTTTTAAAGTATAGGGTAAAAAAMCAGGGTCAATCTCACAATGAAGGTCTCTGAAAAGTCCATACAGAGCTAAACTGTGACAGTCTGTGGCCTTCTTGGAAGCAGGAGGCACATTGCACAATTGTGGGTGTATGCCTCTCGCTGTAATCTCACTTCATCCAGTTTGTCTGCCTACACTCTTTATTCTAACCCTATCCTTAGAGGAAGCAAAGCACGTGGATTGTGCAGTGAAAGTGAGAGGCAGTCATTAGTCTACTACTATACAAACAAGGGATGTTATTATCCTCATGTTAAAGTGAATGTTAATAGAGACTGCCTTTTAACAAAGATACCGCTACTAAAACTCCACACAACCCAGCTGTTGCTGTTGTGATGCTCTATTCAGAGCAAACACAAGCCAAATGAAAGGCTTTTTCTCTAAGCCCTGAGGTGTTACCTGAGGCTRTTGATGGTGGCTTCACAAAATTAATAGTAAAAGCAGAATTCTTTCTCCTCTTTGACTACAGAGCCAGCTGGGCACCAGTCTAATCTGCACATAACATGTGTAAATCAATACAAGTTGCTCATCCTATCTGCATGCAAAGCTTCAGCACACGCAGGTGGTTCTTGCTATCACATCACACTGTAGATATTCCCGATGCACAGCAGTCTCCTATGCCCTGCAGAGCCACATGGGAAGGCTTCTAGAGCACATTTTCAGATTCCAAAATCACTAATAGGTCAGCTCATTTCTTAAACCATCCGAATCTCATAGGTCTTCAACTGCAGCAGTCTGTTCACAAGTAAGCACAATAATGATGTGGCAATTCCATTCCTAAAGTCTGTGTGTGGCAAATGCAAGTGAGCACATTTTCCTCTTGTTGTCCACTCTAAGCACAATGTGATCCCATATATTGTATTCCCTATTTTCACAGTGAATCACGCTATATCTGTGCCAGAAAGACTCCTACTATTTGGCAGACCTGCTGAGTACACAGATTTGAAATAGCAAGTAAAAAAAAAAAATTCTGAAGCCAAGGGGAATTTATTTTTCCCTCCAGAGAATTAGGATTCATCAAAATGGGAACATTAGGCCTCAGTCAACTGCATGTGACACTAGGTTGAAAGCTGCTGTTCATTGCACGCCTGTCAGAAGAATTCAGTTATATTCCCAACTGGAGTATTAGCTAGGCTTTAGCAAAGAAGACATGAAAATGCTCCAGCTGAATGAAAAAAGAGTGTAAAAAATAGGGAGAAAGATGCCTAAAGCAGTTGACAGCAAGCATTTTTAAAATAAAGCATATGCTAGGAAGATAAAGATGTGTGGATAAGTTGCCTAGAATGACCTGGATACTGTCCTGGTCAACTGGGAAAATATGAAATTGTGGACATCTGTTCACTACTTTGGCTGCCTCAGAAAAGGCTCGGCATTGCAGGCAACCTCTGTATTTCCACATGCTTGGGTAAGAGAGCAGAAATCTCAGGAACTCTATTCACAGATATAGAAGTGACAGAAGATTTATTTTCACGAGCATATTTCTAGAGCTGGAACTAGAATTTGAGACATTCAAGTCTGTTCAATTTAACAGCACCACCAAACTCGGAGTATGGGGCAACAGGCAATGCATGAGGATCTCTCCATCTTTATCCCATGTTCCAGGCAAGATGACAGACCTGCTTCTAAATCAGAACACTCTAGATTTACAGTGAATATTAACAGAGTACATGCATAGCAATTCTCTTTATCTATGCTGTTCAACAGTCTAACACAATCCTTCAAATCTCCACCTTCAACATCTACCTGCCCTCTGAGGTCCACTTGTCCTATGACCTCCACTGGGAACATTTAATTACTTTTTTTTCACCCATTAGCCTATTTTCAAGGCTAGGCAAATAATATATGGCATTAGGGACAATTTATCTTCTACCTTCCTCTCTTATTCCACCTGCCATCCAATTTAAAGGGAACATTGGTTTTAGGCTCTTCTAAAACTCTTACCCTGCCTCAAGGGAATAACATTCCATAACCAACAGCCTACAGCTTCTTACCAAGAGAACACTGAATAACCAAAATCTAATAAGATATTCAACTTCAGCCTATACAAAATCCTCTTAGGTAGAAGGAGTTCAATAAAAAATTCTGTCTGGACYACTCCTCCCATAGAGCAAATGGGCAGAGGGGAAAGAGGGGAAGGATCCCTTGAGTTGCCCATCCAAGTCTCTACTTGCTTGCTTTTAGCAGTCTGCATCATGAAGTCGAAACCTTAACAGACAAGACTTGATTAGCAAACGCTTTGTGCTCTTAAAGGAGAGTAATTATAGGCATGTGAAAAAAGAAGAGATCCCTGAGGTACTCTTCCTTGCATGCCTCCCGAGAGGCAGCAGGGCCATTAAAAATTCCATGATGAAGAGGAAAAACAGTCTGGGAACAGCCAGGAGGCAATACAGCAAATTAATACACCAGCCATCCCTTGGGAGGACTGCAAGAAAGCAGAAAACTCTCCTTGCTTCACAAAATAAAATTATACCACTAATGATAACAGTCACCACACACACAAAACTGCTTCTAATGACGGGTGTGAAATTCCCAGTGCTGTGCACACACTTTGAATGAAAGCTCTTCTCATCACAGACATAAATCAAGAAAGGTAGTGTACGATTTATACAGCCTTTCAAATAAGACTTCCCAAGGAACCTTCCATATAGGCTTGTCAGTGTCAAGGAGGAGGCTCTTTCTCAACCCTCAACTGCACTCAGCATTCTGGCCTTCAGCTCTGCTTAACAGAAGTACTGGGTTACCAGTTTTCCAGATGAACTGMACCAAAATCCACCACTGAGACAAAGAAAACATTTCCACAGCAGAGAAAAGACTCCACTTAGTAACTATACTCCACTTAGTAACTAACTGGACACACTCTGTGATAGCAGAAACTAAACAGAGAAAGGCGATTTTGTATGGCATGGCATGTTAACTGGGGCAATAGCTCATCTGAGCTTACAGAGATCACCTGAACCTCCCATAAGAAAATGGACTACTAACTAGTAGGCTTGACATGTAAAAGCTAAARAACAAATACTGTCAAGAAAATATTTCTCTGAAGGAACGATTTCCTTCTGTGCCCTTAGCAGCATCTTTACATAAAGCAAGTTCCTCATACCAAAGAGTTCAATCCTTCCCACATACATGAGGCTACGAAACACATTCATTCTTTTCATATTTCTTTCTCCTATAAAGGTTCTTGAGCACATTTCACACTAAAATAGGAACTACTTTCTCAAACTCCAGGCATGTAAAAACACAGGTGTGTCTAGGATGGTACAATTTCTCTGTCAACTCAGTAACAATTTATCAGTGATTATGTTTTTCAGAACACCAGTCATATGTTCATTAGAGTAGGGAACCAAACATATATATTAACTGGTTAATTAAACTATATACCCAGGAAAACATAGCAAACACAATATCTCCACATTTAGAAATCCCTCACAAAGAGCTTGGCTTTGGAAAGGGCCTTCACTGGTCATCATGAAGTGGAGATTTTGCCCTATTTTAATTTGCGAGCAGTATTTGTCCAGCTCACATTCCTGGAAGACAAACTTCTATAAAGCACCAAGTAAAACACTGGAGGCAGAAGAAAGGTTATCCTAGCTGAAAATGAAGAGACCAATCAATCTTCTTGCTTCACAGGCAGAAAACATCCCCAGAGTGGGGCAAAAGCACAGAAAGGAATCAATTTGCTGATGCACAATCTTCTGAATTCTTTTTATTCTCATCCAGTTGAACATTTAAGAGCTGATTTCTTCCTCCCTCCCCTTTTCCAGCTTTAACATGCTGGCTACAGCAGCATGAGGTCATGGTGCGACATCGCAAAATTCCCTGCAGAAGTCAGTGGGAAGAGAGGTTTTGCTGGGTGGGTGCCAAGCTTCCGTTCAGACACATACAACCTTAGTTCATTTTTCATGCTCTATTTGCTAATTAACAAGGGAAAGAAAGCCATGAAGCTGAAAGTCCAGACATTTCTTTCAGATTGGTTCCCTGGTACAAGCACATAAGCAGAATTGTGTCCAAAGCAAGGCTTTGTCTACTTGTACAGGGAAAAGAGCTCAAGGGCACCTTACCTTTAGATAGTCACCTGCAGCACAAAAACAGGAGTCACCTCTAAGGCCAACAYTTGAATTTAATTTAGGATTAGTCAGCAGAAGGTGACTGAATAGTATATTAACTGAATTATGCAGACCCAAATATACCTAACATCTGGCCAGACCAGATCTAAATTTCAGCTATTGCTACAGAGAGAGATATCAAGCCATTAGAGGTCACCTCAGGTGAGTTCTTAATCTGCTCAGAGGGTCTATTTTAGACATCTAGGATACAAAAATGCTTCAGCATGTCACCCACATGAGTTTGTCAGCACTTCTCTCATCTTGTTCCAATTTCAATAGCGGGCAATGATACCCCATCCATTTGTACCTACAAAAGAGACTTTCAGCAACTCATTGCACATTTCAGAACAGACTGCAGTTATTTCTAAAGAAACAGTATGTTCTGTCTGTCTAWCATACTGTTTCATATACTGTAAGGGCTTCATTTACTGAGACTCTTAAATAAACTGCATTGCTACATTTTATACTAAGTTTGAACATGGGATTTCTAAGGAAAAGTGTGTTAACTTACAGGTCCATGAGTATTGCTCAGTTCACACAGTACTACTGAATACATCCATGAGAGGGAAGTGAGACAACCCCAACAGAACAGAGGAAGGGAGTTACCTGGCAGTGCAGTGTGCTGGTGAGCATCTTCGGTGGGAAGCATCAGCAAGCACATCCAGAGAGTACAGAGGAGATAATGGATTGAACTGGAAAGTCAAAAGATTTTATTTAAGCAGAGCATTAAAAGAAACAGGATCCAGATACAGCTCCTGAGATCTATTTTTTTAGCTGTTCATAYAGTATAAGGAGACCTTTCTGACACTTCAAGAGGTGAGACTAGATAAGAACTGATTCTCATTTCAGACAAAAGGCTAGCACAAAGGGTGAAGCAGCAAATCTCATAACCACCTTCTCCCAACAGACAGTCTTAGCACACTCCTATTCCAACTTGCGTTACTAAAAATGCTGGTTGACTAAGAGCATAAGTGCTCTACTGCTGCATGCCATGAGAAAAAAGTCTGCTTCTCTTCCAGAAACCTCCTTGTCTACCCTCACATTGTAGAAAAAAAAGTCACTGTTATGAATCCTCCTTAAGTGGGACTGCTAGTTTACTGTCAATGAAGTAACACTGCAAGTGCACAGTAAGGAGAAYCACCAGGAACCCTCTGTTTTTGGAGTGGCTGATTCAAGTTCATTTAAGAAAAATAAAAGCTATTTACTTTTGCTCATTTTGAAGGTTATGTAGTTATTCTTATCTTTAGCAATATAAAAGCAATTGGTAAAATGAAAAATACACAATTGTGCAAAGGCTTGAAAACTATTTCTTGCCATACATGTATTTTTAGTCACCTGAAGGGSGAAACAAATTTCAGTTCCTACTGCTCACCAACTATAAAACAACTCACATAGGAACAGAAAGGAGTGTGCATGGTCCAGAGCACTGTTACAACCTGACTGCTCAAAAGAAAGATTGTTTTTTTTGCTCTTTGCTATTAAGAACCTGAGCTTTCATCTCTTAAGCAAAAAACCTCCTAGCACTGAAGCTAMGAAAGGCTTACTGAAGAATATGAAAGTGCATACACAAGAGTTTCAGTTACAAGAACACCTATTTCTCTTGCTTATCGCCTCTTACATTTTTCTGTTACAGCTTCTATTTAACKACACCATTTTTTCCCTTCTCTGTGGATGAGACTATAGTAGAAGCCTGAGCCAAACAAGGCAAAACAAAGCATTTAAAAGGAAAAAAAAGTTCCAATGCTTAAGGAATTTTGAGAGGCCAAAGCTCCTCTTGACAAGAGGCATTTTCCCTCCCTCTCACTGTCAGAAAGGAAGGACTACACTAATCTGAAACAAGGAGATAAATAAAAGGAGTTCCCGAGCTATTCAGTTTAAATAGATAATACAATGCCTGAGAAATGGGCTGTGTTCAAAGCCCAGAAGACATCAGTTAACAAAATGAGAAGGGACAGGACTGCCTTACCTCATGTGCCACAGTGTGTGGGAAATCAGAAGTCAGCATTGTATTCTTTCTAGAGAGAAGGAAACCAAGAAAATAAAAAAGGAAGAGCAGAATCACCTTACCTGGTTGCGATCTCTCTTCCCCATGGATGGTAACCAAAAACTGGAAGGAGGCAGAATCAAAAGGATAGGTAGGAGCAATGCCAAGGAATGAGGATGGGGGAAAAAAAGGAGGGTTGGGGGTAAGGGAAGAACAGAGATGGAGGAAGAAGGAAAAAGATTAAACATAATCAGGACTCATATCAAAAACCACAAATTTCAGATCCAAGGAAAAAATTTAGCTATCAGCAGCTAGTGAAGACTGGACCCACTGCATTTCAGTCAAGAGCTGTCATCCTTACCTACCCATTCCCCAGAACAATATTAGGGAGATGCCAAAGGATAAATGCCATGACTATTTCCAGTGCTAACTACAATTTAAGTACACTAATTGGGGAAGGAGACAGAACACCAAAGAAAGAAAAAGTTATTTTGGAGCTGCCTTGTCATCATTTCTGCAGTCTGGGTATGCACCCATAGTGTGACTGAAGCATTTTAAGAAACAAACATATGGGCCTCAGTCTTAACATCCAAAAGATCTGCAGTCAATGCAATGGCACATTACAAGGGAGGATGAAAGAAAAAGCTGACTGCAAACAAAAGGGCATTTGAGTAGTGTCCAAACACTACGGCAGCCTTATATAAACATATATATATATATATATATATATAAAACAAAGGAGAAGTCAGCAACTGCAAGTAAGAACACAGAGAAGCCATCAGTAGAACACTGTCTCCCATTCCACAGGTTACACTTAGGTCTCCACCCAGCTCTTCATGTCCTTCAGCCCCAGAAGGGAAGAGGATCCTATTGTTCTTCCTCCCCTCCCGAAGTTCTATACAACAGCTGTTAAGAGCCTTACTCTTTCTGGCGTGGATCACTAACAATATGACCTAGCCTCTCGGTGCCCAGAGTGCTCATGGAGGTCTCCTGAAACACAAAGACAGGTAAAAGGTTGCAAACTCTCACACAGTGAGCAGAAAATAGTTTGCTGCTGCCAGTAAGAACAAATCTTACTCCCCTGGGTCACATCCTTTCCTTACCAGCCCACTCTCAGCTAAACATGTTCACTCCTTCCTTTCAGAGCTTCAGCTGAGATGATTTAACTAATTAGAATGACCGAAAATCATTCAATTTTATTTATGAGGCTTGGTTTTTATTTTTAGTGATGATATTTGCTTGTGGGGGACACACCAGAGACCAGACTAGTACAAAGCATGTATACCATACAGCACAAAGATGTATGAGAGCAGGGGAAATGGGTGGGAATTGCTTCTTTCCACATTAATGGGGTCAGTTAGGCCAGAAATAGGTTGAAAGGCAGGATACTACACAGTTCCATCAACAGTGGGGATTCACTAAACACTGATGAATAAAACAAGGAGAGAAAGCATGATGCTTTTGCCCTTTCTGAAAGCAGCAATTCAGCAGCATGACCTCTGGCAACTAAAGAAAAGGTAGGTCCTAGGAGAAAGGACTTGCTCTGGGAGCTTGTTGCTTCCTGCAAGACACTGCCCTGTGTATGTGCTCGATGCTGGCATACACGTACACACAGCCTGAAGCACCAGCTGCTCATWTCTGCATAGCAACTCCCTCCAAGAAAGAAGCATACTTTGCAGAAAGGGGCTGAAGATGAGGGCAAAAGCCTTTCACAGGTAAGATTTGTTTGTGTCAGGTATGTAGGCAAAACACACTCAAAGTTTGGGGGCAGTCATAGCAGCAGGGGTGAAAGATGGTCTATTTGTTACAGCAGGAAAATTATTAACTTAAAGTGCCAYAATGTTTAAATTTACGGTTTATTACTGTGTAAATTACAAGCCATACTTTTGGTAATTAGCAGCTCGCTGGCGGGGAGCTCTGAATGAAACTCATTATTTATGATTACAATTTCGAGAGATGGGGAAGGGGGAGCAGTGACCTCCGCTGCAAATGACAAAGATCCCTTTAAGGTGATGAAGATGAATTAAACAAGTAAATATTATCCTTCTCATTTGGATCATTAGAGGTGTGCCGCCAGGCCCAGTCACTTGCAGGTGGCCTGAGGAACCCTAGCTAAAGTCAGTTTCTTGCCAGCTGAGGATTCATATTTTGAATGCTGGTTACAATTAAGCAAGGTGAGTGGAAGAAAGAAGGGGCAAACAAGTATGAACAGAAGGCAGCTGTCACACTCCTCTAGACTCCAGGTCCCTCTATCACACCTTGTTAGTAGACTACAGCCAGTCAGCTCAGAACTTATGCCAATGTTTTCAAAAGCACAGAGAACATGGCAATAAAAAAAAGCCAACCTGACAATACTTTCCTTCTCAGAATCATCTTTTACAACAAACAGCACTCAACACTCCATGATGCTAGACCCAACCAGTTTTATCTCTCTCTTTTCGACAGATATCTGCAAAGTATTGTTTGTTCTCTTGGAAATAGAACTGATACTTTGTTGTTTGATCTATATATAACAAAACTAATCAATGGCTTTGGGTAGCTTTGTATGTATTCATTGCATATACCTTTTTATTCTCCTGTCTTCCCTCTAAAAATGCAACTGCTAAAACCACCTTCCTTTGCTGCCATTCATATCAGTCTGCTTTCCTTATGTAAAACTCAGCCTTCCTTCACCTTTGAGCCACCTCTCTGCCCTTGTAGCCTCATCTGAGCATGCACAAGTCTCATGCCATCATCATTCTCCCCTACATTCTGTCTAAATCTTCTTGATATTTATGCTCCCTGCCATTCTTCTTCAGGCCTCCTTTCATCCTGCTTTTAGCAGATCAACTGTCTTTGCCCCTCTAAATGGCCCTTAAAATCCAGTTAGTCACTCACTCACCTTCTGACAGTCAAAGCAGTTAAACAAATCAAACAATACACAAAAATATACAGGACCACTTTCTGCAGAAAACAGTTTACACAGTATCTTAGAATAATACTTCAGGACTGATCAGAATCGGAAATACAAAACTACCATCTTTCAAAAGGGCATACCTTGCCAACTAGCCTCCTCCGACCTTTACGGAGACAGCGGGCAGCAGCTCCTGGAAGACGATTCAGGCGAGCATGAAATCCTGAAAASCAAATGCAGAAAAACTGAGCTATGAACACAGAAGATTCTTCCTGACAAAGCCATCAGGAAAAACCCTTAGTTCAGTAATCAAATCAGATCCTCTGTCTCTTGCTTTTCAATCTCAAAGATGTATATATGCCAATTTATTCACAAATCAAATAAAATTCTTATTTTTAAAAAAAGTAAGACTCAGGAATGCAGGCAGGTGGTATAAATATTTTGCTGAACTCTCTAATAGTGCAGTTTTTTCTTAACTGGATCTCAAAATAATAAAACAGATCATCAATACCAGTTTAAATGCAGCATCTATGAGCAGAATCTACTCTTGCCATCAAAAGTTCTTAAACACATGGCATTCCTTATAGACCTCACCTCTCTGAGCTGGCCGTGAGGGTAAAAGGAAGGTCGAAACTGAGAGCTTGTCCAGGCCTGAATCAATCCTTTCCACTTCAGATCGGTGATCAGTTCCCCACTTAGGAAGAAGGTTGGGGACAGTGAATCCTGGAACACATTCTCCTTCATAAAACCAATCACTTTGCTCATCATCTCCTAAAGAAATAGGATGGAATTAGCCACAAATAACATCAATGTGCCCTGTAACAGTCCGTCAAAATACTACAAGTCGGCATTTCAGAATGTGAAACAGCTGAAGTCTCATTAGGAATTCCTTCTTGAAGAGCCTTATATTTGTATTCTGTTTCAATGAACCTCGGTAACTATGGGGCCTCACTAAATGCTTTAAACTATCCAACTCATCAGTCTACAGAATTTCCCTATAGAACAAAGCCTCTTTATAGACCTGCCTAGGGCAGGTTTAGCACTCTGTTGCTGCTGCATCTCATCAACCTTAGTTCAATGTTGTGTGATGTCTTATGCAGAACTCTTTCTCTGAAGTAATTACTGCAACACTGGTAGAGGCCAATCATTTGGCACATGTTATAGGCTGTCACAGGGGAGACTTCACAAGAGGGGAAGACAAGGCTCACAGAGTAAGCAAAAGAAATGTACTCACTGCTGAGAAAGACCCCTGGTCTCCTCAGACAGCAGCTAAGAGGAAAACACATAACTATGTGAAATGGTCAGAGTAAAAGCACTAACCATGCTGTGAGTTGTTCTCAATAAATACTTCTTTGAATGTGTCAGAAACTACAGACCCGCTACAAAACTAAAGCAGCAGCAACAGAAGGAATGACCAAAGTCTCYATGAAGCTGGGTCACCATAGTTAATGCAGTCTAAAACTAAACTGAATCAGACACTGTGGTGTCTGGCCAAAAATTTCGAGAGCAGTAGCACATGAGCAGCATATGAAAAACAAGCAGAAGGAGGGCAAAGAACCTGATACATGTAGCTTTTCAGTAGTCAAACTCACAAACAGCCACATGTAATTGAGAGGTACTTCATCTAGCCTTAAAAAAMTAACACCTCTACCTTAGGGAAAATCCTCATTTGCCTACCATTAAGTCTCAACTCAAGGATCCCCATTTACTCTTCTTTTCTCACTGAGTTACATCATTCCTGACCAAAGTCCGTTATACCTATACACACATCTTGCCAAGAAAAAAAATAGAAGAAATAAGAAAAAAGGAGTACAAGAAAGTAAAAAAAACTCATCCTAGTGAGAATGCTGCAATCTTGCACACAACAGAAGGAGCAACACACAAAACCAACTCCAATCAGCAACGGGTAGAACAGCCAGGACACTTTAACCCAAAGCTCTGATAATGTTTTTTTCACCTATCAAGTTGACCTACCAGTTTTATCTTAAAATATAAACATCTCATTTCTACTTCACAGTAAACTAAAACTAAGTAATGTTAAATAATTCTTCTAGAAAATTATAATTTGTGCAAAACTATTCCTAGAAATTTGGGTCTATGAGCATAGTGCCCTGTCATACCCCAAAACACTACTTTCTCAAGACAAAATTTAACTATCAGAATCATATGCTAATGCTGCAGTAATTTTCACAGTAAGAGATCCAATGAGTGTAACAAATATAAAACCAAAAAAAAACCCCACCTTACAATCAAATTATTAATTAGGATCATTCTCTGCTCACAGAAGTGTGATGGTGTGTGCAATTGCAAAGACAATTTACTTAACTAGCAACAGCAGAAATATTACATGATGCAACCCCAAAAGAGGGAGGAAAAAAACCTACATTTATTTAAGAATACTGCCACTTAAATTTCCCATTATTCAGATTACAATTGTGCTGGAAAACTATTTCTAAGATTATGACCTGTCACAAAAAGACTTTTTATGCTCTCCCTATCTCACTGACATGGAGAGCAGCTGTTTTTTTTTAATTTACTTTATGACTAGAAATTGTTAAGGCAAAAAAAAAAAGAAAAGGAGATTTTTTTAATTTAGCCTGAAAGTGCAACAATATTTTTAACCCTTCTAATATAACTGTAAGCTAAAACATCTTGGCCAGAAAGCTGTCATAGTATAAACTGTTTGAAGAGAGACAGACTTGATRATGAGGATGTCAAACTTCTTCTAGTATCTAGACAGGGAAGGCTGTAACTGGATTTTATTAGTTTATCTAAGTCCTGTATATTGAGCATCCTATTTCTAGTAGTAGCCAAAAATCAGTGTCTAAAACAGGGTATAAATTCAGGGCAGGTATATAGGACAAGCATATAGACAAGTATATATATACACTACCCATATATACACTCCATCAATCTTGTTTTGGATGATGAAGTAAAACATTTCAGTCACCCCTCTGCTTCATCATCTGATACACAAGTGCTCACTAATTTCAGTTCCCCCTGACCATTCATCACTAAAACAAGGGCAAAAGATTCTACCTTTGTGTTGTCTTTGAAAAAACAGAGTCTGGAAACAGGTATTTTCCAGCAAAGGTCAATGTTGGTATTTGACACCCCTACTCTTAAGGAAAGTATTACACTCACCRAAAATCACATGATTAGTCCTACAGCCTAAATTATCATCAGGAAACAYGTACGTGTGTTTGTTGTCATTGTGTTGCCTCACACAGGTACCTGGGCCAATAACAAGTGCATTACTGGAAGCAGCATTTCCTATTGGGCTAACATTTCCTTTAGCACTCTTGTATTCCCAGAAAAGATCTCATCCAAATCTTAGCTTGTGAAATGTGACAGAATCAGAGTAACAGAGCACAGAATTGCAGGTCTTTAGGGTCACATTCCACATGCTCCTAATATAATAGTCCTCAATGCCTGTGTGACTACTACAACCYATTTAACACTTACTTCTGCCATATCCCACATCAACTGGACACTGTGCTGTCACTGATAAATAAAACCAGAATGCACTTCACACTCAAAACTCCTAAGAAACCATTTCTAAAACAGACAGTGAAAATACCAGATTCCACTAATGCACACAAGAGCAAGGGAAGAACACATATTTAAAGAAATAAAACCTATCATATATTACCATCATCTTCTTAGCACAGTCTATTAGGTGACTTGTGAGTAGTAAGCAATTTTTTCCCCCATTTTCTCTTCCTGCCTGTAGAGAAAACAACTAACAGATTCAGGCMCTAATGGTATGTAGACAACCCTTGAAAAACCTATAGAAACAAATCATAAGCTGTGCTCTTGCRTTACAAAGAGCTCTCAAACTCCTCTTGTATGATGTCTGTGCTGTCCCACAATAGCTTCTTAGGTTGCAAGTATTATGGATCAGATATACAAACTATTTCAGCAGGAAAAGTGCAGTGTTATGAAAATCATACATTTGTAGCCCTCATCTCATTTCTTAACTTCCAGCCTCTCCCTGCCACTGCTTTATCTCATGCACTTCCCTCTCTGTCTCTCTTCAAACATAGATCTTTCTTTGCATTTGTAAAGAAAGTAAGCAAAACTCCCCAGCAGCACATAAGGAAAATCACAGGACACTTGTTACCTTGGCGACCTTCATCATTGGTAAACAGGCCAGTATCACTGCTGCTGCATACACTGCTGGTTTCACTGGAACAAAWACAAAGAAAAAAAAATCATGGTTACAATTGCAGCAGGCACAAAACAAAACCCACCCTACTACATTTTACTAGCTTCTCCAAGACYAAAAGGCTTTATATGTATCACAAAAACTGCATTTCAGATACATGACCAGCTCTAGGACAGAATGTAACTGCTTCCTGTTAAAAACTATCAATGCTGCATCGCYTGAAAAAGAGTAGAATCCTGCATCTAGTTTAGTTCTAAATTATCAAGAATTAATTCATAAAATGGCATTTGCCTCAGGTACTAGAACTAATAACCTAACTACGACTTTGTSTGGAATACTCACCAGTAAATTAAGCGCAGTTAAAAACTCTGTCCTTGGGTCACTCAACAGCTACTGAAAACCCCTTGAAGTTTTTTACTTCACATTCCTTTTCCTCAAAAACGTTACACTGTCACATAAACACACTCCTTTCCCCAATGGCAATCTTTATTTTATAGGGAGTGAAGCACGGCTGTCACACTTACAACTCTACAGCTAAATACCTTAGCAAAGCATGACTTGCTGCTGCTGAATGCAACCTTGTTATAGCRTGCTTTGCATTTGCTGAAGCAATTAAGAGATTTAATTCTTGAACAAAAGAATAAAGCTAGAAATTAATTTGTAGAAAGTCATTAATTGACTGGGAAGTTGGATGAATATTTGTAGCAGAAGTACATGCTCACGTCAGTCTCAAGCATCTGAACACTTTAATGCTGACATGAAGTCATTTCTTGAACACTTCAGCAATATTTCCTYCGATTTAGCTGAGAGATATCAGGACAAGCAAAAACTACTTACAGCCTACTCCCTCAGCACTAAGACTTTAGATGCTAACATCAAATGTAAGTCAGCAGTAGAATCAGTCTCCAATCAGGGAATGSTGTTTGAAAGTATCTCTGCATCCCTCTTTTCCAGGGAAATTGGATCATACTAGTGACCAGTATCAGCTGGAAACTCTTCAGTTTAAAAGGCTGAATGATGAGGGACCACAAAATATGTCATTCGAAAGAATTGCAGACACAGAATAAAACCCTATTTTGTGATCGTATTATTGTTCTTAGAAAATGCACTCTAAAGAGCAGCCAAGTCAACTCATCATGGATATCTAAAAACTCAGCATCTTCATCATTGTATAAAGGCCATTTATATTCAAAGGATGAACAATCTGTACATCATTTTCACATTTCAGCATGCAAGTTAATATCAAATTCCATTACAAAAGCTTGGCCATCCATTCACCTWCCCATATATATACCATAGCAATTAAGGCCGAGGACTGAGAACCTTGAATTGCTTCATCCCTAGCTCTCCTACTAACTCACTGTATGATCCTGGACCAATCTTTTAGCCTGCCTGCTTTTCCTTTTGATAGCCTGGATTAACAATCCTCACAAGCTGCAGATGCAAGGATTGAGAGACTGCTTCATAAGGGTTTTACCATCCTCAGAGAMAAGATGCCCAAAAAAGTAAAAAGTATTGACAAGATCCCGTATCATATTAACAGTACTTTCAGCATCCTGTTGCACTGAGAGCTCTTTAGCTCCTTACAGGTAAGCATCACTGCCCGCACTTTACTGGAACAAACTTTTAGGGATCTTACCCTCTTCACCACCCCTTTTACACTGCAGGGCTGAACACAAACTAGACTCCTATGCAGGCCTTTCTGCAGGTCCAGTAAGCACTGATTAATGACCTCCACTTGCAAAGGAGGCTACTTACCTTAACCATGAAATAATGAATGCTATTGATCCAACAAGCTACTGCTATAGAGTGTTATTGATCACCCAATCTTTGGTTAAAATGGTCCTCATTTAGCAATTTCACTGTCRCAAACACCTGGAGCAAAGCATGCTTATAATTAAATAGTTTGGGGGAGTTAAAGTGAGAGGTGATGGACAGAGATCTCAGGTTTCCCCCATTTATTCTTATGCCTGAGCTATTGTTTGTGTCAGGAGAGATATTGATTTTCTATAAAAATAAGAAAACAAGAGGCACCAAGGGGCTGCAGAAGGTCAGGCTGGGCTGGAGAAGGAGGGGAAGCTGAACACTCTGTCTTTGTCACTTGCCTTCCAAGAGAGAGGATTTTTTTTTTTTTTTTAATGGAGAGACTGGCCTCCAATTCATCAGCTTAGCTAGACTCACAAATGCCACTGCAGGCTGTCATCGAAGGAGCTCACTTCCAAAGGGTAAAGCAACTTAACTGCACACTCAGGATGATCGATGGTCACAATTCTCAGGCCAGAATAATGTACTAGTTTTGGCTGGCATAGAGTTAAATTTTTCTCATAGTAGAACTAAGGTTCTATGTTTTGGATTTGTGACCAGTGCTGGTAACACAGARATGTTTTAGTTACTGCTGAGCAGTGCTTACAGGGTGCCAGGGCTCTCTCTGTTTCCCACACTGCCCTGCCGGTGAGCAGGCTGGGGGTGCAGAAAAAGCTGGGAGGGTATACAGCTGGACAGCTGACCCTGACTGACCAAAGCAATATCCCACATCACATAATGTCATGCTTAACAATAAAAGCTGGGATAAAGAAGAATGAAGCCAGGGACATTTGGAATTGTGGTGTCTGTCTTCCCAAATAATGTCACAAATGATGCAGTTYTGCAYTCCTGGAGATGGCTGAACACCTACCCGCTCATAGGAAGTAGTGAATTCCTTGTTTTGCTTTGCTTGCACACATGGCTTTTGCTTCACCCACTAAACCAACTTTACCTCAAGCTGAGAGTTTTCTCACTTTTACTCTTCCATTTTCCTCCCTCATCCCACTGTGGGGGAGTGAGCAGGCGGCTGTGTGGAGCTGAGCTGCCTGTCTGGGTTAAACCACAACAAATACATCAAGAAAGTGAAATSTCACTTGGCAGGTCAGTAGAATCTCCAGTTTGAAAAAGTCACATTAAGAATTTTGGTACTTGAAAACATATGAGACCAACTGCCTATTTTTCACAAATAAACACACCACTCAAAGTGATTTTTTAGACAGCTCTTGTACTATGGTTTGTTCTGCCCTCAAACCAAACTCAGACCATTTTGGAAATACTCAGCTTAGACCAACAACAGAAAGAACTCCAGCACTCAATATATAATTTGCCTTTCTTTTATTATGGCTGCAGGGAATCTGAGAACATTCAGGGACAGAAAGGCATGTTACTTCTAACAGTCTTAGCAGTTAATTGTCACCTTTGTGTATACAAATGACTGCTTAAACTAAAACCACTTGCTTCCTCTGTTGTTTCCACAATTATTTTAGATCAAGCATTGGGTCATGTCATTATCCAATTCAGAACCATCATCATTTCCTGCACATCCATCCCTCTCTCAATTTGTGTTCACCTTTTGCCACGTTTGGCAAACAATTTCAAAGATTTCATTTCATGCACAATTTAAATCACAATACTGCAGTTCATCTACCTCAAGGAAAAGACTGGGCTTAGTCCCACAAGCAAACTATAAAGAAAACTATCTCCTCATTAAGAATGGCTATCCAAGACTTTCTCAGTGAAAAGAGAAAACCAACTAAATGTAGTAGGTTTTTGACCTAACTTAGGATAAGAAAAAACTTGTGGAAAACTAAGAAAAATTCTTCTGGAAAGCAGAGAAAACACTGGCTATTTCAGTATTTACAGAGTCATTCCTTCATAACAAACTAAAGCAAGCATCAGTGTAGGGCAGGGAAAAGGTTAAAAAAAACTCATGCTGAATGCACAACTTAGTTTGTCTCAAAACCCATTTCATTTTGTGACATTCCCTATTCCTAGAGGAGTAAACAGTAGTGGAACCAGTTCAGCATGAAAGTTTTGCACATCACCAGATCACCACAGATTGCTTCTAAGTCCCACAAGCAGAATCAGTCACTTTTCTTCCCATCAGCTTGTGACGACAACCACAACATTCATTCTCCTACMCATCCCATTTTTTTCTCCCTTCCTCAGGATATGCCCTTGTCATGCATCTGTGCAAAGTATTTCTCTTACTGTACCAGAAAAAAACAGCTAGAGCACAGTGGGAGTGAGGCAAACACAGCCAGTTTCACTCTGCTGCTAGCAGCAAAGTGCTATATTTAGAGCAGTGGAGACCAAAGCATGATCCTTTAGGGCCGTGAGGAATACTCCGCAGTGAAGAGGGTTGCACGTATTCCTCCCTCCAGCTGTGGCCCTCCCTAGTGAGTCATAGCACAGATCACACATGTGGTGTTGGAGAGGTCAAATATTCCAAGCACTCACTTTCCAGAGAGAATCCTAAGGATTTGGCAGCAGATGGTAAGTGTCATTTGACGCATACACTTGCACAATAATTAGTCTGAGAGCAAGGGACAACTGAGACAGAATAAAGCCATCTCTCAGCATGGTCCTCAAGTAACAGTCTGGACATAGCTCTTTATTTACTCTTTTTAAGGCTGGCACACATAAAGGCTGGATAAAAGCCTACTGGTTTAAGTTCAAGTTTGACATGATGGAACACTCTGATCCACTCTGATCGGTGGAAAAAAAGCAACTCAGGAAACACCCTCCTAGTAAGGGTACCTCTCAGTCCATCACCATTGACATGCAGCATTCAGAAGCTACTTGGCACATTTCTTTTCCTGCAATACTAGCAAATAGCTCTGAAAAGACAGAACTACTTTAACAACTAGTATCAAAAAGTTTCCATCCACATTTCTTGTAAAGCCCATTTCACACCCACTTTTTAGCAACAACAGCCACTCTAGTAAGAAAAAGATGACCAACCTGTAACAGTTACATGATACAAATCACAACTGACAAAGTAAAATTGCAATAGTGGTTCCCTGGACCAGGACAGTGAAGACTTACTGGAACTTAATCTTTTCACAGAATCCCAGAAAATACCATTGAGAAGTCTGCACTTCCAGCTGTTATCCACAAAGCCATAATAATGAAGAGCCACCTGTCCACTCGGACAAACTGCAGAGCTAGACTGTCACAACGCTTAAATGAACCTCAACATGTGAACAGTCATATGGTATCACACAGTTAGATTTTCCAAATCCACTGTCATCTGTCTGATAGTGACTGTTACAGTGAATGCTTGAGAAAAGAACATAGAACATGGCAGATTCCTCAATATTTCTCTAGCTTTTAGCAGTCAGCAGCTTAAGGACTTCCTAAGCTTTCATCTGGACAGATCTTTCATCTTTCTAAGCCAGATCTTTCATCTTTCTAAGCCAGATCTTTCATCTGGAAAATGTTTAACAGCCCCTGATGTAACTATGCTCCACATCTCCCTTTTGTACATACTTAAATTTTGACCTCTAAGATGTCCTGCGGCAGTTTCAAACCTCACATTTCATGAAAAAGAATACTTTTTGTTTGTTTGTTTGAAATACCTCCTCAATGTCTGCTGTTCTTACATAGTGATAATTAGAAAATAAGCAGTCACCTTTGCTTTCTGTATTCCATTCATTGAAATGTCCTCCATTTGATTCTTAGCAGCTGCCTCTTTTCTAACCTGAAAAATCTCTTTGGACAGAAGCAGTTGCATGACCCCAAACCTTCAACAGAGAGAATAAAAGTCACAGCTGGAGAAAAATTACCTAGGGCAACACGAATTCATACCATGACATTTAAATATCTCATTTTAATCCCTTGTATGTGATTCTGCCACAAATTCATCRAAGTTCTCCAAAACTGGACACAAAGACATCACACCCCACTGTCTGTGTAGGCTTATCCTGTAAGTAACTTAARTTCCCCTCAATTTCTTCATTGTCTCACCACAGTCCCCTCATAGCTAGGCTTTCAGGATCAGTTCAAGAGAAGATGTAGAACTGCAAGCAAGGTACGTAGACTGAAGTTCACACAGTACCTGCACAAAGGGCTAGCAGTAATAACGTGAGATATGATCTCTTAACTACTACTACATTAAATGCTGAAAACAAGAAACTGAGATCAGTTCATATTAATCACGCAACACAAGTGCTAACTGTGCATTTACTCTCCAAACCATAGGCCACAGGCATGCCACTTTGTAGCTGAAAGGCCACAGACACTTCCAAGGACTCCTCGTGTAACAGGAGCCAGAAACCTACCAGCTTGCCAACTCTACAAGGAAGCGCTTTGGGTCATCATACAGTACTGAGAAAAGACTTGGAAAAAATCTACCGTTTAGAAGCAGCTGAGACATTTCTCCTCTTCAAAAAGAGAGCAGCACAGAGTGATGTTAAGAATTTCAAAAAGCAAGGCACAGCATTTACAAGCAGCTGAAAGCAAGGCGGCTATCTGACTAGCACAGGGAAGAAACCAAGATCTCACCATTCCGACATATTTTCATCTGAGCCCTGTTTCTGATCATCAGCTTCACAATCCATGTGCTCCTTCCTTCCTGCTTTGCTGAGGAAGGGCCTGTTCTCTCCTGACTGGCTGTGACTGGATGATGTCCATGGGGCATTTTCTTTCCAGCGTGAAAGACACTGTTTCTTGGCTGACTTGAACYTGCAGCCCCTCTCGCAGTTCCACTCTGACACCCTAAGCTTTTGCTGGAGACTGGCAGCCACCTCTGATGTCACACGTTTGACTTTCCGTCGGCGCCTGAGAGGTCGACAGGGTGCATTCTCTGTAAAGGAGTCTGACTCATGCCACAAGTGTTGTTTGCTCCTCAGGGTGGCACATAGAGTTGGGTGTCGTTTGACCACTGCCATGTCATCAGAATCACTGAAATTAGCTGTCAGCACCTCACGGCAATCCTTGACAGCTTCGTCCAAGCTCGACTCTGAGGCCTCACTGTAGCAGCAGGCATGCTCTGCCTGATGTGTGAAGTCTGAGCGTCGTTTACGACCCCGTCTCTTGCGAAGTTGACGACGCTGCTGCCGTGGGCTTAGTGCCATCTCTTCCCATAGTTCATCCAGTTTGTTTTGTTCTGAAGTCTGCTCTAAAGCCGAGGCCAAGTCATGCACCAGTTCATCCATTGGTAATGTCTACCGAAAATGACAACAAATTATYAGCACCAGACATAAATACTGCCACTAACGCATCACCACACTGTAGTATGCTACAGTCTTTGCAATGTTAACCTAGTTAGACACTTAGGAGTTGCCTGAGAGGGCCCAATGCAGGACAACTGCCACTTCCTGGCTAACACTCACTTCTTCTTTYTGCAAGGGTTAAATCCCTCTTCTAACCATGGTGCCACAGATCACTCTACTGCAGCAGTTGGGTCAAATGCTCTGTGTCTGAAAAGGCCTTAAGGTAGCATCTTTTGTGTTGAAGCAACATGCTCAATTACATATCCCAAAGGGTATGGAAGTCTGCAACTAGTTTTTGCTACCCGGCGTCAGTAAGACACAGAGAAGGGTTAGCCTGCTTGACAAACAGATTGAGTCTTCCAAAACGTAGACCAGCAGCAAAGCTGGGAGTAAAACAAGTAGTCTACAAGCCAGCATCACTTCGGCAGCAAAACAAAGCATGTGGGATCCTGTGCCCCTTAAAACAGAATGTATGAGACCAAGCCTCAACTCTAAATGCCGCAAAATACCACCCCTACACTTCAGGTGCTAATGCACCAATTCCAAAGTCCTGGCTAAATCCCTCACCTCACAAACCCCCTCTTCCCATCCGTGCCTTGCAGGCGTGGGATTTCTCTCCCCACCGGGCACAGAAACACCCACACCCCCATCCCGGTGAACTACCCCCTGCCGCAGGCCGCGTCGCTTAGTCCTCAGCGACCCGGCCGCACCGACTCCCTCCTCCGGGGAGACGCCGCTGCTTCTGCCCGACACCCCCCAGATCCACCGGGAAAACACGGCAAAACCTGCTCTCACCGCCCCGGACGCGCCGCCTCCCGCCGGGCCTGCCCACGRCCCCGCTCACCGGCCAGCGCCCCGCTCCGCCAGCCCCTCGCCAGCGCCGCTTCCGGCCTCCCCGGGCCACTTCCTCCGCCCGCCCCGCCTGCGGGCGGGGCCGCCACCGCCGCCGAGCCCTGACGCTCCGGCCGGGCCAGCGCCGGCCCGCCCCGCCCATCCCATCCCATCCCATCCCATCCCATCCCGGGCAGCCTGCGAGCGCGGGGTGTCGCGGCGCTGCCTGCTTCGCCGTGTGTTTGTGCTGCGGCTGGTGCCGCCGGTGGAGCCATTGCAGATCCCTTACCTGCCAGCGGGGCAGCCCTTGCCATATACGTAACCTTTAGTCGCTTAGTTATCGTATTTTATTTTTAATGGACAACAAATAAACTCGGTACGCAAACTCTTCCATTTCATTGCTGCCACGCTAATTGTGTATATCCAAAATTAAACCTCACAGTGCTACTTCCCTCTCCTTAAGGCACGCATCTCTTTTCCTATCACCCCATTTTACACATCACTAGCAGCCATCAAAATAAAGCTAGGTGTGAACCTGCCACCATTCAGTTTTGCTTAACATTCCGTTTTATTTCCCAACTTCCGTGATGTTTCTTCGGGGGTTTTGAGTGGGGGTTTGTCATGCTTTTTTATTTGTTTTGTTTTCGGGCCGGGCGGGGGGGGTGGGGTGGGGGCGGTCGCTGGGTTGTGTTGTGGTTGGTTTTTTATTCCTGGGGATTTTTGTTCAGAGTTTTTTTTTTGGTTGATTGGGTTTTTGGTTGCTGGGGGTGGGTGGGGTGGGTAGTTTATTTGTTTAGATTAGGTTTGATTTGGTTTTATGGTGGGGTTTTTGTTTCAGAAGGTTATTTGGGTTGTTTGTTTTTGGTTTTTTTTTAACCAAGGCAGCTGCACTCACATTCAAGCCAATACTGGTTCATTTTTCGAGTAATATTTTACAATGCAGCATATCAAAGGTTTTGCCAACGTACATATATATATATATATATATATATACATTACGTTTGAGGTATTCTCTTTACTAGTTTTGTAAACTTAATCAAGAGAAAATAATCAGGTTTATTTGAATGTGATTTATTCTCTATAAATGTATGCTGCTGCTGCTTATTGCTCATAGATCTCTCATCCTTTGTATTTTTACTTTTTTTCACCCATTCGTGTTTATCCCATCACATTGCCAGGAACAGAAGTTACCCTTAAACGGTGATATTTGCCAAGATAACTGCCTCCTCCCTGCTCTCACCTGCAAAAGACTGGCACTATGTTTGCTTTTCCTCAGTCCTCTGGCACCCTCCCTAGTTTGTCAAGATACTTCAAAAATAATCGAATGCTAGGGTTTGCCATTGGTTCGTACACCCCAACAGGACAAGCTTCATTTAGCTTTGCTGAACTTTCTACATRCTGTTTATCTAATCGGTCCTTTATGGCAGTCTGAGCTGTCATGTTAACATTTTCATTTCCTTTTAGTTCTCTATTATTTCCTTGGAAAATAAATATTAAAAGAAGAAAAGCAGACATTAAGTAGATATTTTTTATCCCATTTCCAATAGCTGACTTGATTAAAGTTATTTTGTGTGCACCAATTTGCCTGTAAAATTATGTCCTTTTGTCTTTTTAACTCTTTCTGGGACAGTAACTCACCTTTACTTGCTGGCAGTATTTTATTTTCCCTGCCATTTTCCTATTTCCAATACAGGGGTTTTCTTTTTACTCTCAGATCTGAGAGCAAATCCCTCCTAAAATCTAATCCTGTTTTCACCGCAGCAATCCTTTTTCATGCTTCAGGATATAAAACAGCTACAAAATGTCTAGGTTAGAGAGAAACTCCCCTGATGGGAAGGTTATTCTGTAAACATCCACTTCAGAGCTTCTTACCCCTTCATTTCAAGCACTAGATACTGGCTGCTGTTCCAGGCAGAATAACAAGCCAGACAAACAATTGTGTACAAGAAATCCTGTGTTCAGATGTCCTGGAGAGATGGCAGCAGATGCCCACTCTAATTTCTCTTATTTCCCCCTCATTTCCTAACTAGTTCTCTGCTGTTTCTGTAGGTCAACAAAATGTTTTGCAACTGGTATAAATTGTACTTCATCTGTCCATTATTTTTTAAGATATTCAACACTAAAACCCAAATTTCAGCAGATGCTGTCGGCATTTGGCCTGAATAAAGACAACAACCTGGTACACAGGATTGGTTTTCTGTGAGAGAGATAGGGCAAAAAGAAGAGACAGGATGAAAGTGCCCTTGCAATTGCAAGTCTCAAGAACTAAAAGGGTGCCGCAAAGGAGCACTGATGTGTATGGGGAAAAAATCAGAAGATTTGGAATAGGAGTTCAAAAAATACAATGAGGCAGTTGGGATAAAATGGCTTTGAGCAGTTTATGGTATTTCTGTCCAGTCTTACAAGGTTCACCCTGACACAGGCCAGCAACAGTATATTTTGAATCCTTGCCTGCATTCAACTTCATCCCACATCCCCTGGCAAATTGTTTACTCTCTGCGCACTTCGTAAGTTGCCTGAATGGGAACTGGCTCATCTTCTCAGCATTAGTTGTACTCATTAAATACTCCAGGGATACAAAATGTTCAGCACTCTTATCCCAGATGGATTGTTATCCATCACTGGGCTTTGTAGGGATGGGGTTTTTCCCTGACCTGAGGCTGTGGTCACCTGTGCTGAACTGTTGCTGGGCCTGGAGGCAGGAGAGGGTGTGTTAGTGGTGAGGGACATTTCCACGGCAAGCAGGAGAGGAAGCTTGGCTGGATGCTCCCTGCTTGTCACAGCAGCGCTTTGGCCCAGCTCCCTCCCCAGTGGGCAGCAGGAGCCATTCAGCCCGGTAGGAAGGGGAGAGCAGCAGGGTCATTGCTCTACCCCAGCAAATGCTCTGCCTAGTCCCATGGCACTTCTCAGCGAAACCTTCCAGGGGTTAAAAGGAAAAAGAGAGACAGAAAGGGGACAAGAGACAAAGGGAGGAATAAAGTCAAAAAATGTGYCGTGAAGCTTCTTGCAGCAAAATGCGGAGAAAGTCATTTCCAACTTCTTTCATCTCAGAGATGAAGCCACTAAATAAAAGGGCAGCACAGAACACAAGGGCTTTTAATCTGTCTCATCTCCTTCATAATAACTGCAAATTTTCCCTGGGCTCCTGGGAGTGAGCCTCTTTCCTCTGTCTTTGCCTTATCTCCCCCCTCCATATTTCACAGCCGGCTCGGCTCCCCTCACTCGGCTGCCCCCGGCCTAGTCTCCGAGAGGCCTGTGGGAGCCGCCAGCTCCCAGGGCCTCATTGTTCCCGGCTTGGGAGGAAGCTCAGGGAGGGAATTGAAGGCAAGTCAAAGGGAAACGGCATCATCGCTGCTTCATTAATGGGAACCTTTCAGCAGAAAACATATCAGAGCGAGGTCTTTTCAGAGGCAGTAATTAGCAATTTGGAGCCTTCCCCCCTCAGGAGATGCAGCTGCGATCTAACAAGTGGGAGCAGTGCTCGCCTCCTTTTACGCTTCATATTTATTGTTTTTCATTTTCTCCATCTTCCTTCCATTGTCCAGCCTCCTCTTCATGGCCAGATAAGGGCCCTTTATTAATCACTCTCTTTTAATTCTTCATTAATGATAATAACTTTCTCTGGTGTGCGAAGAGGAGTTAATCTTTCCTGGGTATTGAGAAAGGACAGGGCTGAAAGGGAGGGAGGGAGGGAGAGAGAAGTGCATGGTGGACAGGGCTGTACTGCCACACTTCCCTGCCRCCCCACCACCCGGAAGGAGTTTCAGATGACTTTGGCTGTCAAGTTGCGAGTTGCCCACTGGAAAATCTTGGGCTGTCAGTTTGGTCCCGCTGTGTGGGTGTGGTGGGATGTACCCTCTGTCAGAGGTCCTGTCCTTACCAGAAACAGGTGCACACTSGCCAGAGGGAGAGGACACTGGTGTACACTGGTGTACACTGGTGACTAACTGGCTGTGTCTACTTGTCTTGGAAGAACACTCCTTCACATTCCTTCAAAGCCCAGTTTTCCAAGCCCAAGCTTAAACAGCCCCTGAAAGTGACAGAAATGGCATCTGGCATGCTCTAGACATGTCAAGATCCTCCTAGGAATGTCTCTCTGGGAGCTGGAACAGTCTGCCTTG